TGTACATAAATAAGGACGTTAGTTTTCTCGTTTGAATTGTTTTACATTAGTCATTTCGGGGCCCTATTATAGCTGACTATGCGGTATGGGCTTTGCTCATTGTTGAAGGCCGTACGGTGACTTATAGTTGTTAATTTATGTGTCATTTGGTCTCTTGTGAAGAGTTGTCTCATTGGCAATCATACCACATCTTCTTTTTTATATTAACAACATTCTATAAAGATGATATAAAATAAGAAGATGTGGTATGATTGTCAATGAGACAACTCTCCACAAGACACCAAATGACACAGAAATTAACAACTACAGGTAACCGTACGGCCTTCAACAGTGAGCAAAGCCCATACCTCATAATCAGCTATAAAAGGCCAGAAATGACAAATGTAAAACAATTAAAACGAGAAATTTAACGCCCTGATTTATGTACAAAATAACGAACGAAAAACAAATACGACATGTAGCAACAAACGACAACCACTAAATTAAACGCGCCTAACTTGGGACAGGCACATACAGAATGTGTCGGGGTTAAACATGTTAGCGGGCGCCCAACCCTCTCCTAACCTGGGACAGTGGTGTAACATTACAACATATGAACAAACTATAAAAATCAGTTGAAAAGGGCTTAACTCATCAGATATATACAAAGCACAAAAACAAGTATCAAAAACACAAAGTGCACGTGACAGGGTACTTATACATCCCCACAACAAAAAGACACTAAGTACAGATCTGAGAGTACTCGCAGTCATCTAACGCCCTGATTTATGTACAAAATAACGAACGAAAAACAAATACGACATGTAGCAACAAACGACAACCACTAAATTAAACGCGCCTAACTTGGGACAGGCACATACAGAATCAAAGCCAGTTCAAAGCCAATAACAACTTATACAAAAAATCATGCATCTAAGACTAAAATATCAATCAGTACACATCCAACATCCAATGAATTTATGTCATTAAACTCATCCAATTACACCTTATATTTCACGATATATTAAGGGTTCACACAATCTAAGTCTCTTTCCTCTTGCAATAGTATTACGACATTTGAATTTTCTACCCTTTTCTACTAATACACGAATTCCCCATTCCAAACTAAAAGAGAAATTGAAAGAATTGGTCCTGCTTTGTTTCATAAAAAAAGAATGGTCAGATTAGAAATACATATCTTGTTTTGGGGAGGGATAAATCGTACTTTGTAAAAAATCACTGTGATTCAAACAAAAATTTCTTTGAAACGGACATTTTCAAAGTTTCTTGATAGATAACATGCATGTAACGTTCTGAGGACGTTTTTCTTATTAAACTATTGGAATTCCCATGGAATCCAACTGTGTTCCTCTTCTTGCCGACTTGTACCTTTATTCACATGAGGTAAACTTCATACAGAGAGAAAAATGAAAGTAAGCTAGCATTAATTTCACTTTCCGCTATATAGATGATGTTCTCTCACTGAAGGGGCCTCGGTGGTCGAGTGGTCTAAGGAGTCGAACTGCTGTATCACTAGCCTGTCAATACCGCGGTTGTGAGTTCGAATCCCGCTCGACTTCAATATATCTTGATTGACTAGGATTGTCAGTTTTCCAACCGAATGTCGGTGGTTCTCTCCGGGCACTCCAGCTTCTTCCACTAATAAAAACTGACCGCCACGAAATAACACAATAGTGCTGAAAGTGGCGTTAAACACAAATCAATCAATCAATCATTCAATCAATCAATCCTCTCACTGAAAAGTTAACATTTTGGTGACAATATTGAATCCATCAATCCCATCGAACTTGAAATAAAGGATACAACAGATGCATTTAAATCTGCCTCGTATCTTACTTGCATCTAGAAACTGTCAACGAGGGTCTGTTGAGAGCAAAGGTTTACGACAATTGTGACCTTTCCATTTCTATGTAGCAACATTCCAGCAGCGCCTACATAGAGAGTATATATCCCCGATTTGATACGATGTTCCAGAGCTTGCATTCCTTATCATGACTTCCTTGATAGAGGGTTGCTGCTAACAAGGAAGCTATTGAACCAAGTGTTCTACGTGGTGCAGTTGAAGTCATCCCTTCGAAAATTTTACGAACGCAATCACGAGATGGATAGCCGTACTATTCATTGTATACTGTACTGTATACACTGTGTCTGAACAAATCCCTGCAAAAACGTACCAAAAGAAAGATATAATTATAGATATTGCAAGATTAGTAGCTTTTTTTACCTCAATACTTGTATTTATATGTATGGAAGGAAGGGATGAAATGGGTAATTGCTTACATCAACTTCATTTGAACTTTGGAAGATAGTTGTCTCATTATCTCCTTATCTTTATATGTTAACTTGAAAGGACCTGGTTTGGTAAATGTGTACACTCATTTCGTTGTAAAATTCCAGGAACCGCTTTCGGTATTGAGATGTATCGGGACAACTTATTATCTATTTGAACCTGTAAACATTTGAATTCCTGCTTTTAAGCTCACCTGGCCCGAAGGGCCAAGTGAGCTTTTCTCATCACTTTGCGTCCGTCGTCCGTCGTCGTCGTCGTCGTCGTCGTCGTCGTCGTCCGGCGTCGTCTATTAACTTTTACAAAAATCTTCTCCTCTGAAACTACTGGGTCAAATTTAACCAAACTTGGTCACAATCATCATTGGGGTATCTAGTTTAAAAAATGTGTCCGGTGATCCGGTCAACCAACCAAGATGGCCGCCATGGCTAAAAATAGAACATAGGGGTAAAATGTAGATTTTGGCTTATATCTCTGAAACCAAAGCATTTAGAACAAATCTGACATGTAGTAAAATTGTTTATCAGGTCAAGATCTATCTGCCCTGAAATTTTAAGATGAATCGGACAACCCGTTGTTGGGTTGCTGCCCCTGAATTGTTAATTTTAAGGAAATTTTGCCGTTTTTGGTTATTACCTTGAATATTATTATAGATAGAGATAAACTGTAAACAGCAATAATGTTCAGCAAAGTAAGATCTACAAATAAGTTAACTTGACCAAAATGGTCAGTTGACCCCTTAAGGAGTTATTGCCCTTTATAGTTAATTTTTAACCATTTTTCGTAAATTTTTGTAATCTTTTACAAAAATCTTCTCCTCTGAAACTACTTGGCCAAATTTAACCAAACTTGGCCACAATCATCATTGGGGTATCTAGTTTAAAAAATGTGTCCAGTGACCCGGCCAACCAACCAAGATGGCCGCCATGACTAAAAATAGAACATAGGGGTAAAATGTAGATTTTGGCTTATATCTCTGAAACCAAAGCATTTAGAGCAAATCTGACAGGATTAAAATTGTTTATCAGGTCAAGATCTATCTGCCCTGAAATTTTCAGATGAATTGGACAACCTGTTGTTGGGTTGCTGCCCCTGAATTGGTAATTTTAAGGAAATTTTGCCGTTTTTGGTTATTATCTTGAATATTATTATAGATAGAGATAAACTGTAAACAGCAATAATGTTCAGCAAAGTAAGATCTACAAATAAGTTAACTTGATCAAAATAGTCAGTTGACCCCTTAAGGAGTTATTGCCCTTTATAGTTAATTTTTAACCATTTTTCGTAAATTTTTGTAATCTTTTACAAAAATCTTCTCCTCTGAAACTACTTGGCTAAATTTAACCAAACTTGGCCACAATCATCATTGGGGTATCTAGTTTAAAAAATGTGTCCGGTGACCCGGCCAACCAACCAAGATGGCCGCCATGGCTAAAAATAGAACATAGGGGTAAAATGTAGATTTTGGATTATATCTCTGAAACCAAATCATTTAGAGCAAATCTGACGGGATAAAATTGTTCATTAGGTCAAGATCTATCTACCCTGAAATTTTCAGACCAATCAGGCAACATGTTGTTGGGTTGCTGCCCCTGAATTGGTCATTTTAAGAAAATTTTGCAGATTATGGTTATTATCTTGAATATTATTATAGATAGAGATAAACTGTAAACGGCAATAATGTACACCAAAGTAAGATCTACAAATAAGTCAAATGATCAAAATTGTCAATTGTCCCCTTAAGGAGTTATTGCCCTTTATAGTCAATTTTTTACAATTTTCATAAATTTTGTATATTTTGGTAAATTTTTACAAAATATTTTCCACTGTAACTACTAGGCCAAGTTCATTATAGATAGAGATAATTGTAAGCAGCAAGAATGTTCAGTAAAGTAAGATCTACAAACACATCACCATCACCGAAACACAATTTTGTCATGAATCCATCTGTGTCCTTTGTTTGATATGCACATAGACCAAGGTGAGCGACACAGGCTCTTTAGAGCCTCTAGTTTTTAAATTTGATAATTTTAATTTTGCATTGTGTGGATATAAATATTTTAACGTTGAAGTACAAACAATTAAAGTTTGATTCCTTAAAACGAAATAAAACCGTGTCCTTTGTAATGACAAAGCCTTGTTGTTGTAATCATTTTGACATGACCCATTTGTTTTGTTTAATTTATAGAAATGCAAACATTGAGGTGCAAAAAGAGACTTATCTTGCAAATCTCTGCATATATTTCTTTTTGTGCGTTTCTTTCCGTACATTGTGCATAAATTAATTTGCGGCAAACTTTGATCTGAAAGTGACGATTCAAAAGTAATCAAGTGTCCTTTATCATGAAAAAAATAAGAAGATGTGGTATAATTACCAAATAGACAACTGTCCACCAGAGACCAAATGACACAGATAGGTCACCGTACAGCCTTCATCAATGAGCAAAACCCATACCGCATATTCAGCTATAAAAGGCACCGAAATGACAAATGAAAAATAATTCAAACGAGAAAACTAACGGCCTGATTTATGTTCATTCTTATTTTCAATAATTTATTTTGGGTCAAAAAGTGGTAGGGTGCAAAAACATACTTCAGCCCCTACGTTGTGAAGTGGGGGGTTGTTCCCCTCGCACCCATCCAAGGTCATACGCTAGTGCCGTACTGGTATCAGATTCTATCGAGTCGAAACATTTTTTTCCGGGGTAGTTTAGACACAGTGATATACTTGTATTTCACTTGTAATGACTATTTTTAGATGGCATTCATACATGTAAACATTTTGTTGGTATATTATATTAACTGTTTAAAAATGGCGTCTACAGGTAAGTTATACATATTTTTTCATGTGGCGTATACATATAACAATTGCTTACTATTCTAAAAAAATAATTATCTTCTAAACAAGGAAGTTTAAAGCGCAAGAGGTGTTTTGGTAGATCCTTTATAGAATGCAGCAATAAACGCTTACAATAACATAAGACAACAATGAATATTATAAGTTACTTATATAACAGGGAATCATCCCGTCTCCTACTTTGATTTTATTTAAGAACTGTATGCTTCGAATGCTTCTTTTTTTTTTATCAATTATTGGGGTGTAAAAGCTTTGACCGAAGCACAATTTGTATGAGGAATCGCTTTATACTAAAAATGTTCGCATGATCAACGCTTTTACTGATTTACAACCCCATAAAATTAAAATTGTAATAATTGCATTTATATGCTACATCTATGAAATTACGAGTTATATTAAGATTTCTGTGCATTATAGTAAAGTTGTCACGGAAAGCGCGTGCAGTCATGATTGTATACATATAGAAGTTAATTGAGAAATACAATTTGATTTTAAAATGATTTGTGATTGCTTTTTCAGCCAATCAAAAGTACTGATTCTATAAATGAAACAAACATGCAATGTTTTGATGTAAATAAATGATATATAAGGGTAAGCATTTTATATAAAACATTTTTTCTTGGTATAGATTTGAACTGTTAATACCGGTAACCGACTTGCACAAGAATTTTTTAAGGTCCGTTTTGGTCATAGAGATTCTAAATTTTCGATGTATTTATACATCCCTGGCTTGAACATGTTTAGGTTTGAGCATTTTTGATGAAGGTAAATCAATAAAAGCACTTGGGACGCACGAAATTTATAAACTGCTATTTTCATTTTAGTATGACAGCCTTCTTTGCTTATCTGTTGTTGTCTATTGTTATTGATGATGTTGGCACGTGATGTTTTTCTTCATGACATTCAATATCAAAATATGAAGTACTATGAACCGTCTTTTAGTAACCGTCATCATTCATTGTTGCAGTATTATTATATATTGTCTTTCATGTACCATGCTTTTGTCGACTTCAGTTTTCTTACTGTTTTCTCTGGACTTATATTGTTACGGACTGACCAAGGTTTAGTCCGTACAAAGTTAGTTTAACCGAGTCATATGCCTATGTATGGATAAAAGAAAGGTGGGTACATGTCAATGAGACAGCAGCCCAACAACAAAAATAACACTGAATATAGACACATTTTGATCGATTTACAGTCATCAACTATAGACTGGTGTCAATACAATGTGTCAAGCTCTAAATCTACCCGAGTCTAAAAAAATGTGAATAAATTCAACAGATCATACTATCAGCAGTTCTCGGACTTACTATCAAAGATCTGCCATTTACACCAAATTCTCAAAATATTATTTGTATATACGTATGACCTAAGGCAACTACCATGGCGATATTTCTGACTTTGGACAAGCACATGTGACTAGCGAGAGTCAGTAATCTCTTCAACGGTGGCGGGAATTTGAGGTTGAATGCAAAATTGTGGTAAATTCTGTTTAATTCATATCTAGATTATGCGATTACACGCTTTGATTTGTGTTGGATTGCTGATCTACCGACTGTTATTATATATCTTGAAGTTTCCAAAGATTACTTACTTTATTTTAGTTGAATTTCCGAAGATTTATTTTAGATGAAGACAAATTTGATCGTCAGTTATATTTCAAAATATGGAACTTTTTACAAGAAGGAGCAAACGAAAGTATGAAAAACGACGGAGACGAAATATTTCCCAACATATATGTGGGAAACGAGTGAGTTTTATTGATGTAGTTTTTTTGTACAAATGAAATCTTTAAGTTGAATTCTGTTTAAGGCTAAAGGCGATGAGCATAGGGTGATTCTCATTTAAAAAATTTACTTACGAGAAACAATTTAAGTTGTTGTTGAAAAAATAATACATATTTTTTTCTTCTAAAACAGTTTTAAGAGATTTATCATTCATACTATTCCTTTACAGACCTTTTAAATAGAGTCCGATATGTAATCAGAAGGTCAGATAACATCATGACCAAATGAATATTGGCAACAACATCAAATAAAATGAAAATTACGAAGTTCGTAAACACAAGCTGGCAATGGACTTATATCTGATACATCTGAGGATATTTTTGTTTATTGAAGGTTCAATTATATGTAACGGTAAAATGATAATCGAATAATTTCACAAAATAAAGCAGAATTAGCTTATTATTAAAATCTATCAAGATTTAACAATATTTTTTTTTGCAGATTTTTTGCACGTGATCCAGCAGAAGTTAAATCAAATGGTATTACACATGTGTTAAATCTGGCAATTGAGGATGTAGAGACCGGAAAGCAATTTTACAAAGAAATTGGTGCCCAATATTTCGAAATTTTCGCTGAAGATGATCCAGCATTTGATATTAAAAAATGTTTCTTTGAGGCATGTGAAATAATAGATAAAGCATTAAAAGACGGAGGTAAATCTAATAGCATGACCTGGGAACAGTAAATCTAACAATATATATGTGTTCCTGGCATGACGTAGTAAATCACTTATCATAATTGTTGGTGACGAAGCAACAGCTTGTCACTTTTATGGAACATAGGTATCTTCTAGGCCAAAGTTTTCGAAATCTTACAACTGTTAAATTTCTTATAAAAAATGTTTGTTTTCCATTTATTTGTTAGGTACAATGTTCGATAAGACACAAAATAAGCGTTGGTATGATATCTACAAGTAAATACTGTCAATGCTGAAGACGGGCAACCTGAAGAGAATGGCAACACGTTGATGATGTCAACTTGGTATAGAGAAAGTATATGCGTTATTCCCAATATAATTTTGTGAATTTCACAACAGGAAAGTCAGTAACATTGTATATTCCAAATGCTTAAATAAAACGATAATGCTTATAAAGAGTCTGAATCGATCAGCCGGCATCGATTCATGATATACACTCGGATTACATTAAATATACATTCGAAAGTCGCATCATAGGACATTTTTTTTAAAGAAGATACCCTTGTGGTAGTTTATAACATTTAAGGTCTTCATTGTGTTAATTGTTTCAGTGATGGGGATTTTTCAGTAAAGTCGAATTAGCAAATTACCAAGAAATGTTTGCAGTGTCCATAATGACTGCAGGATGTGGGCAAACGAGACGATCTTTTTTGAATATCAATCGTACAAGCATCAGACCTGCAGGAACTGGTTTAAAGAAGACAAATCTATAATCCAATTATTTAAAAACATTTCTACTCTTATCTATTTCCATACCTTTATGTCGTTAACATTGTTGATTGTTTGGGTAACATAATTTTGAAACAAGACAACCAAGAGCTTTCTCAAACTAGCTTTGACCGAATAGTGCTAGAGAAGAAAATTTTTAAAATAAGTTAGCGACGTCAAACAGGTGTCTGATACAAAAAGAAAGCAACTACTCAAACTTGAATAATGGCCTTGTCAACAAAAATATTTCATTTAAAGCATTTATAATATCAACAGTTAAAAGTTAATGACCGGATTTCAGATAACAAAATGAGAATTCAGAGGTGAAAGGTTACAGTTAGAGTTTCATTTGTATCACAGGAAAATGCTCTTAAAAGTTTACGGCTTTGCAAAAATACAAATGAAAAAAATATGGTTAAGCTTCCAAGATACGAAAAAATGATTAAGTTTATACACACTACGCATGTGCTAGTTCATCAATGAACTACTTTTCAGTTTTCAATATCTAAAAAGTACAATTCATCATATTATTGTGTGTAAATTAATTTCAGGAAAAATATTAGTACATTGCGTGGCAGGCTATAGAAGATCTCCGACAGTAGCAGTAGCTTATATGATGATAAAGAAAAAATACCATCTGTGGGACGCCGTAGCGGAGGCCAGATCTAAAAGAAAAATATTTCCCAATGATGGTTTTATAGAACAATTGTGTATGCTAGAAAAAGAGCTTTATGGGTGATAGAAATTTGTGTCATACACGGATAATAATTTGGGAACTAAATATAATAATCGGGTATTCGATTTTACCATTGTTACCCAATTATACATTTTGCATTATTTTTAAATTAAACTGTGTTTTTATTTTGTACCTCTTTATATATTCAATAAGTTTAATTATCTTATTTATTAAAATTATTTCTATATTAACCTAAATGTTTCCTACAAACTAATTTGTCCTTAATGTGTATAGATAAAAGGACACGTTGGGTAAAAATCGAAGAAACAGCGACCCAACAACGTACAGACTTTTACCCTTGTAACAACCAGAACATGTGTCCACACTCCAAGAGAGGCTAACATAAAAATAAGAAGATGTGGTATGATCGCTAATGAGACCAGGGACCAATTGACATAGAGGTTAACAACTATAGGTCATCGTACGGCCTTCAACAATGAGCAAAACCCATACCGTATAGTGAGCTTTAAAGGCACCGAAATTATCACGTTTTTCATATATCCTAGTTTTAAGTCGACCGACAAATCTTTTAAACTAGAGGGAATTCGGAACATTTGATGGTCTTACTAATAATCAGTTTTTGTAGATCTTCCCAACATCAAAACTATTAAAATTACTATTTTGATTTAAAAAAAAAGTGTTCAAATTAAGTCAATACATGATAAAATTGACTTTGATAAGACAATTTGTTCCATAACGAAACATATGTTTACGTGTAAAAATCTTCTTGTTTATTATGGAGAAATCTGTAACAGGTGTTTGGTTTATCTCTGTCTTATATAATGAAGAGGATATTGCATGTACTCTTATATTTGATATTGACTGGGAAAAAAACACGAAGGCCAAGTTAAAATGAAGAATTTTTATTCAACGGGAAAACAATTAATGACAAAAACTATCGCCCATGCCAATGAAAAATGAAAATAACACTTTCTAAATTTCGTGCGTCCGAAGCGCTTTTCAATGTGTGGCACGTTCTCCGCTAGGACGCTATTGATAATAAATTTGCATAAATACGTTCTGGTTAACAGTAATGATTAAAACAGTAATTTTTTTTCTATAAATATAACAATCGAAAAGAAAATGTGGGCTAAAAAGGTTTGAGTAAAATTAGTTCAAATATTGTTATGCGATCAAATTCTCAACGTCACAGTTTCATTTTTCTGCTGGTTAGGAATGTTATAATAAGAACACACCCATACTTCGTAAATGTACAAAACTATCCAGAGAAGTTAAGGTTTATTAAAAATAATCTTAAAAAATCATACGATTTGCAGCAAAGATTAGCACTCTTGAATTTAAGTCTCTAAAACGATTTCAAACGGACCCTATTGAAACATATTTATAATTTTCCTTCAATTTTACAATGGAAGAACAGAAGTATTTTGGATTTTTGTGTAAAATTAACTCAAGTTGTTGCTATTAGAACTTGAGAAATTTTAAGCGTACTAATATCACCTTATATTTCGACTAATTGGTATATATTGCTAAACTAGTGCTTATGACTTAGGGGAACACTCTGCAAATCTGTTTTCGAAAAAAGCCTTTGCATCTGTATGTATATATATTCGTTTGATCAATAAATATGCAGCAAAGATTAACCAATTTTAAAATATCAGTATACCAAGCCAGCCCATAATCCAGTTTTCTTAACAAAAAATGAATTCAAGACAGCATGCATTTGCATGTATATTTGAAAAAAAACACAAGTAAACAGATATCTACAAAAAATTGTTTAAATATATGGTATCGAAAGAACTTTTAATCAGTGTGTTTACCAACAAATTAATTTAGCGTTATTGCTTGATGTGTTAATATCTGGTATACACCAATGCGAAAAAGAAAATATTGATTACTTGTTGTAGATGATAAGCTTGAAACTGATATAAATCGGCAATCCAGTTGGAATTGAGTGATCTAACCGACCAGGAAAGAAAACCCGAACATTGATATTCTTTTATTTTATTCAAACACAGAGTTCCCATACATACGATCTACTACACAGCTACTTTACACGTGTACTTTTTTAGTACTATAACTTTACAGTACTGAAAATGTACCTAAATAATGTAGTAGTGATGTAGTAATTCCAAACTATTGATTGTTCGTATTTTAGTACCATATATTTGCAGTATTAGATTTGTAATACAATTTTGAAAAAACAGTTTTGTACCTCCGTAGTGTAGTACTATGCGTGTACAGAAATATAATATTATCAATATACTTCTTTTTTTCTATAAATTGACAGTAAATTTTACTGAAAGCATAAATACTTTAAGGCACTGGACTGGCTCAAAAACTGTAAAAAAAGGTTTCTGTACCTGAAATGTATTACACATTAAAAGTATAAAACTATTACTTTCAGCTTAAAGTACAAGCCCAGTACTGTGAAATTAAACTTCTACATTATTTTAGAAGTATTGAAAAGGTACTAAAATACTTAGGTACATTTTAAGTACTTCACATCTATCTAGACTGTTGAAAGAAAGAGATATCATGGACATATTAAGAGTTTGTGTCTCACCGGCTTTTAATCTTATCTCATTTTGTTTAAATTCTACTTTCCAACGTTCTACATATCATTCTAAATAAGGTCACAAATAACGATTATAACCTTAAAATTGACTATAAAAGATAAGAATTAGGTTTCGCTCATCACAAAGACATTGACATTCAAAATGATGGCATCTCTTCTGGTGGTTGTGCTGGCTTTCTGTGCCGTTCATTGTAATGGATTCTTATTCGGACATGGTAAGCATTAAATATTGCATTGTTTTGCGAAATAATAACCTCAATATGCATTGAATATTAAAAAGCATTCAATAAATACATTTATAACACTGTTTGAGACTCGGAACGAATGAAAACTTGAACGTAAATCTATATATTGTCTTTCGGGCACACATTAATTCATTTTGGTTAGACAAGTCATTCGGTGCAATATATTTTATATATAACTGAATTAAGTAAACCTGGCAAAATTTAACAGTATCAGATAGAATTGGCAATTTTGTAACAAAATGCCTTAAACAGTGTCATATAATTTTGAATAACATTTTGATTTTATAAAAAAATAGTATGTTAAATTGTTGAATTATGTTTCAGTATATGATATAGACTTTTTTATATTCAAATTCTAGTAAGATTTAACAACGATATGATTTTAACCCTGTAAATGAAATTAAATTTAGGGAATTGCTCCTTCCCCGTTTTGAAGTTGTATTTATTTCCGATAAAGAGGTATTTGGCTGTTGCAATAGAAACGTTGGCCTTTGAACAATTAACTAATTCAGTATAGTGATTGAAAAAAACCCCCAACATTTCAAGTAAATATTCATTTATCGTTGGATAATATTACGAAATTTTTTTTATGAATGCTAGATTTGCACGAAGTTTTGTGACTGTATTTTTCATTTGTAATTATTTATTAACTAAGAGGAATATCATTTAAATGCGAGATTTCCTCGTACTTTTATAACTTTGTTTAAACAAACAAAAGTGTTGATCCATTATGTAAATTGGCTGCAATATACAAAAACGGTACAGCGATAATTTCCGTCATTATTTCATTGAAATTTGTTTTAGATTATGTTATTATATACGGTATTTTACGGTGCAAAAAGGAATTTTTAAAAGGTCAAAGTAAAAATGCGAGGACAATTAACCACAAGCGAAAAATGTAAATGAACCATTATAGATTTTAATTTTAAATTTTCTTGTTCTTTTTTAGACGGCACCTGGGATAACCTTAGAGGTAGATATTGCTGTTCTAAGTGGAACTTTATACTCATGATTCGTATGCCAAATGGAACTTAAAACCAAAGATCAAGCTGTATTTCAAAATTTATGTGATTAAGGAAGGGAAGATGTTGCATATAACAAAGATTTACAAAATGCACAAAATTGAGTAATCAAACAAAAAAGTGTGACACAGCAAGTTAGACAAACCGAAAGAAACTCCCAACCGAACAAACAACAAAATTACACACACAAAGCGTTATAATCGGCAAAGTATTTGTGATATTGGAATGTGAACATACTAATCTTCCTAAAACAGCAAAACAAAGAAAAAACAAGTAAATTAAGATTATTTCCGATGAGTAGGAATTTGATTGTCAATATATACAATAAATGAAATAATCCCTAAATTATTATTTTTTCTGCGAAATGTGCCGAATAATGGCATTCATTATTTTACTATTACCAGTCAATTTTTGTAATCAGCTGGTATTGACGTATGCTGTGTTACACAACCATCTAACTGTCCAAGTGCACAACACATTTAATATATATCGTTTTCTGGATGACATAATTATTTTGTACAGTTCCAACTATTATTAAGAGCATTTTGACAGATGACATGAGTATGATTTAGCAGACTGTATAAATTTAAGAACAAGCAAGTGACTTTGAGATGAAGAACAGCAATAAAAGCGCTGTTCCTTTGCTTTTTGTATGTTTTTTTGTTGTTGTGCATTTACTTATTTTGTGTCATGGATGGATACCCCATATCTTTTGTTTTTCTATTAAGATAACATTGAAAATTTAAAATTTTCGCAAAAAAGGAGATTTTATATTTTTGCTAATTGTAAACACTCACTGTTTTTTTATAAGATGACACCAATTACTATTCATACAACGTAAACACTTTTCCAAATCGCATTAAAATCCAGAGCTACTGTTCAATGGCAAGTTGAACTTAAGCCAGTCTAAAACGATAACGGTGACCTATAGTTTTTAACATCTACGTCGTTTGGTCTCTGATGGATAGTTGTCTAATGGGAAATCATTCCACATCTATTTATTTCATATTATGAAAAAAAGAATACATTTTTTCTTTTAGATAAAAAAAAACAGAAAAAATATTGATCTGGTACCCGAAACCAAACCGGTTTCGTATTGTGTGGTCTTTCATTAAGCTCTTTTTACAATATCGATATTACATATTAGCTTTTAGAAGGTGACCTATTAACATCTTAAACTTGATTTTCAGTTACATGGGGAATAAACCCATTCAGTAGTACGAGCTTTGCAGCTATGCCACTAACAGAGGCCGATGCTAAAGCTAAGGGATTTCAGAAGATATCAGATTGTGGAGGTATGTTAAAAATTATGCTACATGTAACTAAATTGACTCCTCAATGAAGTTTTGACGGACTTGTTTCCAACAAACATTCTGCATTCCTATGGGAACCAACTGTGCTTCTCTCCTCACCGACCCTTTCTTTAATTCGTATGAATAGACTTCGCACAAGAGCTTCTAAAGAAGAATACCAATAAGTATGCATTATTCTTTTACTTTACGTTTATATAGGCGACGTCCTCTTACTGAATAATGTTCAAAGTTTGGTGACTATGCTGATTGCATTTATCTCACCGAGACTTGAAATGTAGAACACCACAGGTAGGCTTCGGTCTGCGTTATTTCTTGTACTTACATATAATAATTGACAACGAGGTTCAGTTGAGAATTAAACTTTTCAACAAAAGAGATGATTTCTATTTCTTTCTCGGTATAATATCAACTCTCGCCACACATACTAGAATGAGGTGTCTGTTAGTAACCGTCAATTCAGATGTAGAGATACCACTGAAACAATCACATATTTCATTCTCTCATAAGATTCTATCAATTGACAGTGTAAAATTTGAATAAAAAAACTGAAGATTTCAATTTTTCATAAATAAATCATTCCCATTATCTGAGAATTTTCATGTCTTCGTCTCCTTTTTATGGTGTTCATTGTTTTCAGTTTATTTGCAATTGAGGAGCTTGTGTTAAATCCAGTGACTTCATTTTGACAAAACTTTTTGAGACTATTGAATATTTGCACATCCCTACAATAACAAGAAGTCAAAATATTGAGAATCTAGTCTAAACAATAGCGCTTTATATCCATAATTGTATTAGTTTAATTTTAAGATAAGCAAAATAAATGTTTAATGATTTGAGAATGTAACTGACATAAGTTCCGATAAACTCGAATGGCGATATTTTTCAGTTTTTTCTTGTATTTAGTTTGAAATTTGTTTTTCACAGATTCTAGTGGATTACATGGTCGTCGATATGTCAAAGATAACGATATGGCTCTTATTTTGATATATGACGTACAGGGATATATTGCTGGAATTTCTGCTGCGGTATGTAATTTAAGAATTTGTTAATCAGAGAGAGAGAGAGAGAGAGAGAGAGAGAGAGAGATTTCAAATTAGTATAACCTCATTAGTACGTTCTCGCGGCACACTAACTTTTCGAATATAATTTATTCAGCAGGAAACGTATATTCGTTACGTCATTTAGAACTCAATTGGTCAACATATGAAGACAAAAAAATACAATGTGTCATCTTATAAAAAAAGTAAGAACGTACCAAGACAACCAGAATAATTGATTGAAGAAGACTTGCCAACATTATGACCAAAATATTGATTGATTGTTGCTTAATGAACTTCCAGTGCCATGACCAAAAGAAAATTACAAAAGGACAAACAACGGTCCATAAAACACTAGACAAAAATCTAAAGATAGAACAATACGATCTTCTCAGAAACTGAGATTGGACTAGAATAGGTGCGATACTGGTTATTCTTTAAGCGTAATTTCAATTCTATAAACGTATCAAAATTTTCGATAACAATTTTTATTACAATTAACACTTTTTACTTACTTCTCGATAATAAAACGTATTCCATACCCTTCCAAAATTAACAGCCTTAGGAGTATATGCGACACTTGTACCAAATTCTGTATTCCCATATATTCATACTAGTATGCTTTAATCAAAGTTTCATTTATGTTTGTCAGGTCTCAAATAGTCTTGCAAATGGATGGCCATCAACATTCCTGAAGAATCATCCATTTGTACTGTCAGGCAACAACTACCATATTTCCGCATATTTCGTTAACCCTGGTAAGTTTTTCAAATTGTATTATGCATTAAAATGTTGAAATTTTAACATTTCTCAGCTTTATTTTACAATAATGGTCATCCTTATCCTGTTAGAATTGATATTGTTGTTTTTTTTTCTATATAAAGACATCTAATGGGAATATGGGCTAAATTAACATGAAACAGCCTAATGAGATTTATTTTGGGAAAATTCATAGACATAAAAAGGTAGCAGACTGGGACTTATAAACTAATAAAGATGTACTTTTTGAATATTGCCGTTTGCCTAAATGTCGAATTGACAGAAGATCTTAGTAAATTATTATGGATTCTTATATAATGATAATGACGGATGTTTCAGCAAAGGTATTTGTTTAAAGTACTTGGTCTGTTTAATGAAATAATCATAACAATTATAAATGAAAAGTGCATTGTCGTGCCCCATGGAAGGTAATGCCATGTCTGACAATGTACGATCTGGGCATTATCAATGTTTCAGTCATTCCTACTGTTCCCATGGCATGACTATGCCTTTTTCACAAGTACAGGTAACTTTTTGGCAAATAATGGAAATGTACTAAGTGTTAGGGATAAGGCTGTCGCGAATTTAAAGATATTATTTACTATCAACAGCGCTCTTTGTAAACGTATCGCTAATATATTTCGGATGGTAAATTCTATAAATAAAAGCAAACTTTCACTTTTCCCTAAGACACATAAATTCTTGCAATGGCTATTTCAGCCAAATTTTCTATGGGTGTTATAATATTAATACCAGTATTAATTTATTAATGCATATACTAGGTCATCATATAGAATATTTTGGTCAATGAGTTCATACTGACTTTATAATTCTTCTATGTACAGGTTTAATATTTTACTAACTTACAATATTTCAATCTTTAATCTTACTTCATCAAATTAAACACTAATACAATACCGTACACTTATTACTTTTAATTATTAGCAAATGACTAAATACGATATTACCTTTCACAGCCATTATTTGTACGTCTGGCAGATCAGCAGCTGAATATAAGCAACAGGGAGTTGGAACTGACCTTTACATTCAGAACGGAACAGACCCGATTGCAAACTCGATCAAAATCCCCCACCAACAGAGTGATATATCTTCCACTCAATGGACAGAGGGAAAATGCTTTCCGTCAATGGGTATGAAAAATTATAATCGTTCAGAAAAGAGTACGGACTAAAACGTCCATATTTGCCAAAAAAATTACTGAGAATTTAAAAGTTACAATGCAAGATCTTAAATTTTGGCTCTCCATTACTAAGCTTAAAAGTGTCCAGAAAAACAAATCGCACATTTATGCTGATTCACCAAGGCAAATTTTGTAAAATTTCTTGATTTGCCTTATTTGGGATCAACTTTTTGGTATATATTGGATTGGAAAAAGATACACGGATATAAGAAATATCTTTATTATTTGGGAAAATGATGAAATAGCTAAAAGAAAGGTTTTGTGTTTTGGCTATAAATGATGTTTCCATAAAGAAAATACTCATAAAATCAGTATTTTTGCATGTACATCAAATTAGGTGCATATAATAAGTTTGAAAATATTGTCTAGCATATTTGTATTTTTTTTATTTAATGCATTTTCCTACACAATTTTATTTTTCTTGGGCGAACGGGTGTCAGTTATATAATTGCTTTCAATGTTTATTATCTATATGAATTTGAAGACTTTTTAAACATTTATAAACTGAATTTACAAATACCATGTATTAATAATTTTTATAATTTCTATGATTTCAACAATAAAATTGAGAATGGAAATGGGGAATACAACCCGACCATAGAGTAGACAACAGCCGAAGACCACCAAAGTATAATCTGTTCCTTGGGATATGTTATAAGTAAAATCTTGTGAAGATAGAAACAGAGTGGTAGCAAAGTACTCATAATTTTTAACCATTTTTCGACAGGTAAACACTATTGGTTCAACGTCAGGAAAGATATGAGTTGTGATGAATTTTGGCCAGTGTTTTTATTGTATAATGGCGGTAAACTCAATGCATTTGGTTGGGCTATGCAAGCAGATCTAACTTCACCTAGAGTTGAACATCCACCAAAGTCAACAATATCTGTATGTATATTTATAACAATAAATTTTTATACTACTTTGCACATTAAGACCGATTTGTATAGTCATATTATTGATAAAGCAAAGATATATAAGACTTGTCTTTGAACTCAAATATTTTTTCGACTAAAAAACTCAGTGTTGGAAAATGTTACACTTAAAGTTCTGTTGATAAATAGCGGTGTCTTGTTGGTTTTTTTAAGATGAGAAACATAAATAAAATGTTTTATATTAATTTCTTTTTGTACATACTTTTTTTGGGGCATTGCACATACTCATTACTTTGATCTTTTCTGGAAAAAAGCGGTCGATATAAGAGTAGAGGAAGGCATATTTTGTTTAAGCAGATTCAGTACTTTTAACTTGCTTTCAGTAACTGTCCATATTCTTTGATACGGTAATTTTTAGTATTCTTTCATTTGTACGTACATGTGGTTTCATGGTAATTTTCGTTATCGGGAAAAGTATATGCGCAATAGGCAGCTGTGCCAAGAGCACAAGATACACCCGTCAAGGCTGCTCAACCACAAGGCATCAATAAAGGCTTAGTGGAAATACTTCCAAGATTATATCCTTGGGAGCATACAAATGTCTTTAATTTGACTGTTTAAGTCCGATAACTCCGTTCATTTTCATAATCGAAAGCGAGAACCTACTTTAACCAATCGCGATAAAAGCATAAAGTTTCAAGTAAATCATTCCAAACATACTCAAGTTTGAGCGCGAATATAAAAATACGTTAATTTCCATAAATCTGGAACGACTAAAAATATGGAGATGTGGTTTGCTTGCAAGTGAAATACATATTTACAAGAGACTAAAGCACGGACTTCAATCAACTGTAGGGCACTGAACGGCCGTTAACAAGAAGAAAACCCAAACCGCAAAGCAAGCCAAAAGGCCTAGGCATGGCCAAATGCGAAACAATCCAAAATGAAAACCAACACATGCTGAAAGCAATACATGAAAACCAAACATGACTTCCAGTAACCATATCAATTTCGGGAAATCAAACCATTCTCAAGGTTTTGTACGACTCGTGGACGGTTGGACGATTTGAAAGACAAGAGAACATTATAATACCTTCAGTCTACCACGGTCGTGTTAAAAACGAATTTAACCGCCATGTGTAAATCTTATCTCCGTTTGAATTCACCAATATTTTATGTTTGGATGGCAGATCTTTTGTAGTCTTTGTTACATGAGCAACGTCTTGTTTCGACGTGGGCCAGCTAGATATTGATGTATGGTAAACCAAAAAAAAAACAAAAAAACGCTCATCTTTTGCTGAAGATTGTTTATTGATTTCCAGATGTCTTTCTATTTTATTTTGTCATTGGGTTTTCTTTCTTACTCATACTGACATATGCCCAACAACCTTTTGTTCATTTATAGAATCAATGTTTATGAAAAATTTTAACTAAATTATCTCAATGAAGGTGAACATGACCCTTCCACTCAAAACTACAAGACAAACATACATACCAATGTTCATGAACGTTAACGGTTACGAGATGGGAAAATCTGACATATTTTATGTATTATTGTTACAGGCATTCATGAACCCACCACCAGACTGCATCTACAAAACTGGAACATTATCTACATTACATATTTACCTGACCAACAACCCAGCTTTGGATACATGCTAAAGAGGATTCACTTAATAACAAAACTATATAAAAGCGGGTATAAGACATTTTTGTAATATATCATTATATTATATTAAAAATGAAAAAAAATTCTTTTGATCATTGCAAAATCATGATATCATCGACCGGCGTAGACTTTCTTGATCTTTATTTGAAATCACTCTAAATTCATGATGTTATGATCAATAACTTTCTACTTAATGACTGTATAGTGACAGCGTCCGTGATTTCGATCCCTGTACGGTTGTAATTAAAAACTTTAGAATATATTTTCACAACACATCTGGTGTCTTAATGATAAAGCCTGGTCTACATAGAGTCATAATGTGTTCGCGTAGGGTGACATGTCTTTCTGGAGACTGGTGCATTGTGAACTTGCATAAATCGTACAAATCCATTGGATATGTACTGATTGCCTTTTTTGTCTGGAAAACATTATTTATTTATAAGTGATATTTAGCTTTGAACTAGCTTTAAGTACTCTTAGATCAGTACTTTGGGTCTATAGTCTTTTTAATATTTTTTTGTAGTTTGTGTCGATCTGATGAGTTTAACTCTGTACAACTGATTTGTACACTGTTTTCATGTGTTGGGCAGTTAAACCACTGTCTCAAGTTATGGCAGGTTTGAGCGCTCGGAAACATGTTTTACCCCGCACATTTTGTATTTGCATGTTGCAATATAGAGTCAGGCATGACAAAATGTAAAACATATCGAAAGAGAAAACTAAAGGTTGATTTATGCTTAAAACAACAAACGAAAAAACAAGTATGGGAGGCATGAAACTAATAGCAACCACTAAATTACAGGCTCCTGACCGCGGACAGACACACAAAGAATAAGGCGAGATTAAACATGTTTGTCAAGAGTATTTCATACCGCAAAGTCATGATATGCAATTTTATCAAAAGCTGAACATGATAATACAGGCACATGGACGACCGATAAATAAAACTTGGCTATTAGAACCAATCTGCCAACCATTCATATTTAAAATTTTGGTATACCTCACATAAGCGTGAGAATATTATTTTTGTCCAAGTTACACAATATATTTATTTCAAATTCCAATTTAAAAAAACAACACATACTTTGAACTGTCATCATCAATATCACGCATTACATACTTTTTATTGATGTTGTCATATAAAAAAATATGGAGCAAAATTATCAAATTCATGAACTCTCTTTGCTAACACAGGTCTTGTTGTCATTGATTTAGGCAATATTCATCGTCAAATATCAGTCCAAGTTTGGACTTCATCCCAAAGGTCATTATATTCCCGTCACCAGTTATATAGTGGGGTTTGTGTTACTCGGATATTGGGATAAGATATGTTAAACCCATTTAAAGAATTATCAGTATCTTGCCGAAGTCATAACACGATCTTTAAGTTCCAAAAGATCCGAACTATACACACAGGTGTTCAAACTTCGGCATTTACGACTATTTTGCGATAGACATTATAACATTAAAAATGGAAAGACGGGTAAAATTTAAAAAAGGTTGTGTAAAGTTAGCATACATTTATACGCGAATCATCGTTATGTTAATGATATATTGTTTATACATTTTTTTGACATTGAAAAATGTTACGTGAAATATCGTAATTGGAAACTCAACTTCAAAATACTGATGGATCCAGTCGAGGATTATACAAGGCAATGAGTTAAACGCGAAAAAGAAGACGTAGATACTCTTTCCGAATTAGTTAAGGCTGTGAGGTCGTTGACATAAATAAAAATTTATAAAAAATGAATTGGTCAATGAATACACATGCTACGTCGAGCTATAAAGACCCAAATGTTGCAAAGCACCTGTCCTACCTCCATGAAAAATAAGTTGTTTTCCCTTTCTATAAAAACCAAAACAATATAGTTTTTGTGTGAAATCACATTACATGAAGTGCTTAATAAAGAAATTAGGTGTTGGCAATTCACTTGGAAACTCAACATATACCCAAAAGATACATATCAAAGAAGAAATGCTGAAAAATCATAGTTTTGATCTATGTTCCTTTTGAATTTCAACCAAAGATCAAAAACTGGATCTTCCTCCACTGTATTTGATATCTAAACTATTTATTTGTGATTACAAACAACGTTATATTGCTGGGTCTTTCATGTGCGCCACGAAACATCTTTTTAAGTTATTAACATCAATTGTATCAGTAATAACAGCCTTGCTTCAAAGTTGTTGTGAAACTACCTATTCTAGAGTCGGCGTCAATCAGATGTGGATAGTAAAATATTCCAAATACCTGTTAGGGTAATACAATCTAAAAATCTTATTTTTTTGACTTTTCTACCCTTTGAACAATTATTCCCAATTCCAAACCAAAAGACAAATTGAAAGAATTGGTCCTGCTTTGTTTTTATAAAAAATAATGGCCAACGTAGATACAAGTAACCGAGGGATAAATCGTACTTTGTAAAATATCACTCTGAAACTGACATTATTAAGATGATTGGTGACTTGATTGAAAACAGATATCAACAACTTATCGGTATTTCCATGGAAACCAACTGTGCTCCTCTTCTTCCCTGCTTGTTTATTAATATGAGAATGACTCCATACCTGAGCTTAGGAAGAATAAAAAGAAGCTAGCATTATCATTTAACTCCAATTTCCGCTCTACAGATGATGTCCTCTCACTAAATAATTCAAAGTATGGTGACTTTGTTGAACGCATTTATCCCATCAAATTATAAATAAAGGATACACCAAATTCCTCTCAAGTCTGCCTCATATATAATACATATTATTTTAAAATTGATATGAATACTATATATATGTATATGCTCGGAAACGGGCCCTTTAATTGGATTCAATAAATATTCTTCTTATTCTATTCTTTTATATCTTGACTTACACCTAGAAATTGACAATGATGGTCGGTTGGGAACAAACGTTCAAGACAAAAGAAATGATTTAAGCTTCCTAGTCGTGAATTTTGCATATCTGCTTATTGGGTATATAATCTCCCAGTTGATACATCCCAGAGCTTGCATTTCCTATCGTGATTTCCTTGATAGAAGCGTGCTGCTCACACGGAAGCTATTAAACCAAGTTGAAATCATCCGTTCAAATAGTTTTTGGACGACATCTCAAGTTAGCTGACCATTATCGATTATTTGTTTCACAGATGACGACATATATGTTCCAATTGTTGTAACCAAAATCCCGTACTATTTTCCTCGAATGTGACCTACCGAATTAGACTTATCACCGGACTTGTACTAACATGAGCAACACGAAATGTGGAGAACGATCGGCTTACCCTCCTTGTGTACCTTAGATCACCTCGGTTTTAGTTGATTTCGTATTTCTCAGTCTTTGGTTTTCTTTGTTGTGTTTTGTATGTTTTCTGTCTTTTGGTTTGTTTTTCGTTTTTGCCATGGCGTTGTCAGTTTGTTTTCCACTTATGATTTAGAATGTCCCTTTGGTATCTTTCGCCTCTCTTTTACGGTAGGGGAACATCTTCAATTTTTAATATATGATAATTACAGGCGTTTATGGCCCCTCCACTAGACTGCATCTACAAAACTGGAATATCATCTATTTTATCTAGCATTACGTATTAATGTAAGCATATCTCGTTACTGCAAATGTAAACCAAATCGCAATGGTTATACTTATGTCGATTTTAAACATACTAAAGAACGATATCAACATTATAGCTTCAAATTGTGGTTTATTGAAATGCGATGCGTGATTGCTCTTGCTCTTTTGTGGTTAAAGATTTAATATGTGAAATAAATGTCAAAATACGTACAGTGGATTACCACCCACACCGGATGATAAATTGCAAATCGCCTCTTGTTTTGACAAATTTGCAATAAAGTCAGGGTAGACAATACATCATGTGAATCCACCATCCGATTCTCATATACAAGAGACATGACTACAAATAATTTCGATTCCTGACTTGGGGCAGACATATAATTAATAATAAATCTTATCGATAAATTACTTGTAAATATATTTTCTAAGGTTCCTATGTGCATGTTACAAAATCATACAAGGAAATCACACTCATAACTTAAACAACGCCTTCAATTAATCGCGTTGCGATAAATGACTTTGTACTATTTATGTAAAGGTATAAGACCACTAATTCGGGCCCGGTCAAGAAGAGCATATAACACAAAGTATTACATATATTAAAAAGAATAGTTCCTACGCATAGCTGTAACTTTCAAAATATTTGGATATTTGGATAATTGGATAATTTTGGTATGAAATAAAAGCCTTAGGATTTGGGATCACTTTTGAACACTTGCCTAATTTTTGATAAAAGAAAGGCATATTCTTCCCATTTCTCAGATCAGTATTACCTGTATTTGCACTTCCGAACATCCAGGACCTAGTGCTCTGTTAAGTGCGAATAAAGGTATGATTAAGTTTAGCGCAAGCCAAGCTAAGGCATTGTGTTGACACGAAATGAATATATTTTTATTTCAAGTAAAGACAAAATAGCTATGAATGCTGGAAATCGTAGAATTTAACGTAGAAAGCAATGGAATTCCCTGTGAAGAAGTTGTTCGATATGTTTTACATTCACGTGAAATGTTCTCGCATTTATTAAATTTAAAAAAAAACTTGGTTAAATAGAAGAAGCTATAGGGTAAGACTAAGTGAACATAAAAAGAATAGTCGGGAGATACCTGAAAACTGACAACAACATAGCAAAAAACGAAGTCCACAAAACACTACATAGAAAACTAAGGACTGAGCAACGCGAACCTCACCAAAAACCATGATTGATATAAGGTGCTCCAGATGGGTCAGCAAATCTGCTCAACATGACAATAATTATTGTGACACCCGTGTTACTCCTAAATTTTATGTACGTGTTTTTCTTAATTTTTCTAAACTCCTGTAACAAATTCTTATCATTACAATCTAACAGGTTATTTTTTGGTTTCTTTTTTTCTCTAAAAATATCTTTATTGCACTTTTCTTTATTGTAATGACAAATTACTCGACCTACAGCAGCTGGCCGAGTATCCCTGTGAAATAGTCACTGAATAACCATGGAAATTACCCAGTGAATTCATATTTATAAGTAGTTAGTTAGGTTTACAACTCATAGTTAATACAAACATTTTTGGAAAATATGTAGTCACATGATTACAGTTTTCATCTTGGGTACTGTCATGATTGTCTTACAATTATATGATAGTTGTTTTCCATTTGTTTGATGTGTTTGCGCTTTTGATTTTGCCATTTGATAAGGGACCATCCGTTTTGAATTTTTCTTGGAGTTCTATTTTTTTGTTATTTTACTTTTCCATACAAATATAATTTGGATTAACGTTAATTAAGCTTTCTCTTGTTTAATTTTGTAATATCCTTAATTACATGTATGAGCTAGATTAGTTTGTTCTAGTCATCTCGTATCGAAAGTTTCAGCTAAGAATCGTATTGTAGCACGTAATTATCAACACAGACATTTCAACTCCCACATTCTCATGTTTATTGAATTATATCTTAGCATCACACAACGTTTCTATCAGACTCTAAGCCGGTATTTCGTACTTTTTGCAAAATTATTTATCAATCTGCAAGAGTATTTAGGATGTTGCTGGATATTATACAAAACATAAGATTGACACATGGGATACTAGTGTGATCTCGATCTGGTATTGATTGGTGTTTAAATGTCCAATGGACAGTGTTTTCCAAAATAAAGAAATCGGTATTTCTTTTTTCCAACATACATTGAACATATGTTTTATAAATCAATAACTTAAAGGATAAATACTTTGAATTCCGCGATTGAATTGGTCAGTATTTAAAAATTCTTTTAAAAAAAAAAAGACTTAATTTTAATTATAAACGGCTATAGCGAGATGGCATTTTACTAAATGAGTTGGAACACTCACATAAGGGCTAAGAAAAATTTGAAGACCATTTTCCTTGTACAATTAGTGTTGTAATATTTCAAACTATCGGCAAACAGGAAGTGGCTAAATGGCAGATGTAAAAATTGCTTACACACTACTGACCAAATATTAAATCCTTTCCTTTCATAGAAGCCAGAAAACTTACGAAAGGACGGCGTCGAGTGGTTACTAGACCTGCTTCAGCCTTCGGTGAACCAAATATTAAAATCATTCCCTTCAGTAGGAGCCGAGAAAACTTTGAAGAACATTTTCCTTGTACAATTAGTGTTGTAATATTTCAAACTATCGACAAACAGGAAGTGGCTTAATGGCAGATGAAAAAATTGCTTAAACACTGCAGACCAAATATTAAATCATTCCATTACATAGAAGCCAGAACACTTTCGGACGGACGGACGAGGTCGAGTGGTTACTAGACCTGCTTCAGCCTTCGGTGACGCAGCTAAGAATGTATGACAATGAGGTTAAAGTTTGGTCAAAGGTCTTATTCGAGATAAAAACATGCGTAATGATGAGAAACCCCAGGTCTTCTACTTAACAATCTACCTTACTCCCTCATTGCTGATAACCTTTTTGACCATTGATAAGAGATTGTTCTATATAATAGTATTAAATTCAATCGATCGATCTTTTCATTCGACATGATGAGATCTATGCTGGTAGTGGCTTTGGCTTTATGTGTAGTACATTGTAATGGATTCCTTTTTAGACATGGTAAATTGTTATTTTCATGGCAATTGTTTATTCAAATATTTAACTTGTTAAATATGCTTTGCTGTTTGTTTTCGATAAATTTTTCATACAATGAATGATATATCAATGAAGAGAAAACGCTGTGTTAGTTTGTTAAAATACATGGACTTATCAAGATATTTGCATGGCTGTTTGTCAGTTTATTTTTGACTTATGAGTTTGAATGTTCCTCTGGTATCTCTCGCCTCTCTCTTGAAGAACATTGTCATTTTCAAAAACTACATTGGCAACGTCCATTTTGTATAAAAATAACGTGAATTAGTTTCTATTTAACAATGTACTTCGAACGTTTTAAATTGACAATGCAACAATAAATACAAAAATAAATGAAGGCAACAGTAGTATACCGCTGTTCAAAGTCATAAATCGATTGAGAGAAAACAAATCCGGGTTACAAACTTAAACGGAGGGAAACGTATCAACTATAAGAGGAAAACAACAGAACAACAAAAACACTGAAATGCAACAAACACAAACGCCAACATACATAGAAACTGACTATTTGATAACTACTGCCATATTCCTGACTCGGTACAGGACATTTTAAGAAAAAGTGGTAAATAAACGACCAATTGCACATGTCTTCTCCTGTTCGTATTAATTGATTGAAAATAAGTTTATAACTAAAATGCATGACGACTTATTTTTAAGAGGAATACGGACACAAAGTGTCAAACAACCATCGTAATCGAGTGAAAGCGACAAAAAATGTCGGTAATAAAAGAGATTAAAAACAATCTTCTCAAAATGAACTGTTACTAAGACGAGTAACACGATTCGCGCTCTGTGATAGACACGAGTATTCCAGAAGGTAATGTGCAATACCTGCTCCACATGTAAGAAACCATGAGTACCATTCATCCTGATGGTCAAGTAAGGTCATAAACGAGGAAAGAACCTATGAATTATGACTATCATACACACAAACTATGTTTCGGGTGCTGTTTTAAACCATTCAAAACAGTTTTAAAGCACCTTTTATTAACCGTAAATGTTTATAGTTTAAAGAGAAGATAACAAATTTACAAATTTACCCTGTGAAACAGAACTATAAACACAACATATTGAAACATAACTGTTACAGTTAGCTATTTTATTTTTTCTTTTAAAGGCACAAAATGGAATAACCTAAAAGGTACGTAAAGTTAGTCTATACACAAATATCAAGCCATATTTAAAAAAAAACTGTAGGACACTAGAAAAGGGCTTATAAGTTTATACCGTCGGTTCCCGATTTGCTAAAGGCCATATTACGATTAAAGAAACATCTCATGGTGTCAAAATAAGCCTTTTAGGGATGGACTGACGATTTTGGCTATTATAACTTTTTTGGTATTCTCGTCTGCTGATTATTTTATCTGTAACAGTTTACAATTTTCCATATCGACTTGCCAAAAAAGCAAAAAAGCCAAGGTTAAAAATGGTCAACTTAAGGACAATAACTCCTATAAATAGTTGAATTACGATCTTGACCATGTTGACTTACTTGTGGCACTTGTTTAAGAATAGATGATCAATTTTGCCGTAAATTTTTTCCTAATGTAGTTATCAAGATTAAAGCCAAAAACGAAAGAAACGCAAAAATGAATAAAAATCGTAATTTAAGGGCAAAAGCTCATGTTAAAAGTCGATTTATGTTTCCACTATGTAAATTTATTTGTAGAACATGTCTTTTTGATAATTTTTGCTATTCAAAGTTTCTCTAATATTATTAAAATTGTCAAGATAATAGTCAAAAACTGTGAAATTTGCTAAAAATTGGCACATTATGTGGAACATTTTTACAATGCATTATTTAAATTGCTAGTAGTGATGTCCTTCACAATTATTCTTCAGTAACATGGGGAATAAATCCATTGAGCAGTACCAGCTTTGTAGCTATGCCACTGACAGAGACTGATGCCAAGTCTCAAGGATTTCAGAAGATCTCAGACTGTGGAGGTATAATATACTTTATAACATCTTGTTTCAAATACACTTATACTATGACAACACATAGAATATAATTAATGAAAAATCAATTCACGTAGTTTCAGATGTAAGAATACACCAACCAATATTTAGTTCTTTCTAAACTTATCACTGTTTGAAAGACTAGAGTAATGTAGGTCAGAAAATAACTTCTTTCAAAACATTTTAAAAGAAAGCGTTAGCTGAAGTACAGTGTTAGGTTAACATTCTTCAGGAAAATTACAATTATTGTAAATGATTTATGAACAACAATCTGATATTTTTAATTTATTTATATAAAAAAAAAAAATCATTACCTTCAACATCTGATGCGAAAAAGGTGTTTTATATAAAAATGCAAATGCTGAAAAAAATCCCTATTATGCAATTACATTTAAACATAGATGACGATGTAGAAAACTGAATTATTTGTGGCTTTAAAGTTCCATAGACCGAAATTTTTCTATTGTTTTACATATTTTCATGGGAAGTCAATCTTTTTGTTTACATTTTCTCGGGAACTATGCAATATCATCAGTAAAGTTTTACATTTTCTCGGGAACTATGCAATATCATCAGTAAAGTTTTTAAGGTTAATCTTTTACTGTTCTAATTTTTGTCACATTAAAAAAATCACTCTTTACAGTCAGATAAAATGGAAACAAAATCATTTTAAATTGAATGCATAATCTCTTTACACATGAATTATTATATTATTATTACACAAGTATGTGTTACACTTAATATTTTTTATAATTATCATTTAAAAAATACAAAATAAAATTGTTATTTTAGTAAACATTGTCAATGTCGTTTTTTAAGAGTATAATTATTTCATAATAATGGTAATCTTTTATAAAACTTTGAAGACAATTTGTGTCTATAACGTAGAAAATTATTCCTTCCATAACTTGCAATTCCTTTATTTTCTATTTGTTTTTACTTTGATAAAGATTAAAGTTTTACTTAAACAGATTCCAGTGGTTTACATGGCATCCGGTATGTTAAAGGCAACGATATGAATCTCATTTTGATATATGATGTTAAAGGCATTATTGCTGGAATTTCTGCTGCGGTAAGTATGATACTATGACTAATCTTCTTTTTTAATGATTATTTGGTGCTTGATCCTTAACTTCTAGTCGCAAAAATCTCATTCCTATTCCGGACGACCTTTTTTATAAATCCAGGATATGCCAATGAGGAATCATTCATTTCCTCTGTACAGCCTTCAACAATGAGCAAACCATACTAATAGTATGCAATAAAAGACTCCAGCATGACCAAATGTGAGACAATTAAAAGAGAAAACCAACGGCCTGATTTATGCTAGAAACAATATGCGACAAAAAATATAGCAGTAAGCAACCATCAACAACCACTGAATTACAGGTTCCTGTTTTGGAACAGGCACATACAGAATGTAGCGGGTTTAGCGCCATAACTGTAAAAATCAGTTGGACAGTTGTTGACTTATCATATTGGCATGAAACATAAAAAACAAATAAACACAAAAGACACAGAGGTCCGATCTAAGAGTATTTTAAGGAAAGTCAAAGCCAATTAAAAAAAATAGAAAAACAATATTTTTCAGATTAAAATATCAATACGTTAACATTCAAAGGATTTAGTGTTATAAAGACGTCATAAATAGTATAAGAAAAGCATGACCTTACATGCAATTCAAGCTTTAATCAATTTTGGTTTTCGGCTAATTCGCTGTTCATGTAAAGCAAGTGGGTTCTGCCAACTTTTTACAATTTCTTGTTGTTTCTGATTTGTCAGGTTCCTACTAATCTTGCAAATGGATGGCCACACGTCTTTCTAAAGGGACATCCTTTTATCAAGTCTGGCAACCACCATCATATTTCTGCATATTTTGTTGATCCTGGTAAGTATGCAAATGTACATTAAAAGGTAAAACCTTTTTTTTTCATAGCAAGTATATCAAATTTAACATAAAAGTCATTATGTTATAATAAAAACCACTTCATTGGAAAATGCATACTAACTTCCTCTCCTTTAAAGTGCTTTCAATGGTTTTGTTATTGGGAAAGCATACAAAATACTACCAACTACCGTTTTTTTTTAAGGCGAAGGCAACTAATTTATTTAATGTACATTACTATTAAACGTTCACCTGTGAGATAAGCAACTACATTTTACCATTAGTAAGATTATTTGGCGAGGGTGAAAATCACTAAATAAAACTAAGGATAAGTAATTCAGTAGTTTTCAAATGAAATAAATATAGGATCTATCAAGTGCAAGGGAGTGTATAAGTTTATAAGTTGCATATAGGTTACTTAGACAATGTTACCCATGTTTACCATTGAAACAATCTTTTTTAGTAAACTTTAGGAATTGCAGTACATCCTGACTGATTTGACAGCACAGTTTTATATAACTATACATGAAAGAATAAAGATAATTTTGTTTTTGATAAGACAGGCTGAAACAATATATTTTGTAAATTTTTCGATGCATCCTAAAACTACTCTATCTAATACTTATATGAATGACAATTATTTCTCAGTTATTTAATTGATCTCAGAAGATATTTAATTTTGTTTGTCAGCCTAGCAATATATAGGTGCATATATCTTTTGTGGTCAAGTTGAATGCTCACTTGGTTATTTTAAAAACCATTACGTATATTTTCATATTTGATTATTTATCATGCAATCACATATTTATTATCTTAATAGCAATAATTTGTGCCTCTGGTAGATCTACAGCCCTTTACCATCAACAGGGTGTAGGAACTGATCTATACATTCAGAACGGAACAGATCCGATTGCTGACTCCATCAAAATACCACATCTTCAGAGTGGAATAACATCTACTCACTGGACAAAAGGGAAATGTTTTCCAACAATGGGTACGTTACTTCTATAGGAATTGAAAATGTAAAGAACAGTTTCTTATTATCTTGCGACGGCTTTTTAAGAAGATTTATTCTTTTTCTGTTTTTACGTTACTCTGTATGACTCCAATTACAAAAGATAGGTATCCAGTGAGTCGCTATACTGGACGGGTAGTATGCACTTATATACACATATTAAAGAATGTCTGTTCTCTACTGGTCACCATATTGTTCAAACATCTCATCAACATTTATAACACTTAGCATAAAAATATTATATTGACAAATAAATTAACCACTAACTTGTCCAAACAAATAATAATAATAAATAATACTATCATTGTGACAAACTATTTGATATAATTTTCTAACAAACTAAGTCTATAATTACTTCACATTTAGAGGGATCAATATTATTACAACGTATAGTTAGGTATTTTTATTAACAATTAGAGTAACCTGCTCAGACACTTTCTTTATCATTACAAGATTAATACATGAGTTATGAATCAAATTAACATCACAATCAGGTCAACATTTATTATGTAACTTTGGAAATAATGAATAAACATCTGTTATTATACAACTTTACAATTAACCTTACTATATTATTACAATACCAAATCGTATCTAAAAATACTCGCAGTCACTTAAATGCACCTATGGAAAGCCAGCTCGAAGAATTTTATTAATAATATAAACTACCTTGTAAGCAAAGCAAATGAACTTAGTATAACAAATCCACGTCATTTGTCTTATTATTATCGTACCACATCTCCTTCTTTCATGTTAAAAAATCGTCCTTTACGCAACGCTTACTTTTTTAAATACACTTACCAAATAGCAAATGAGAAAGAGAGGGGGTATTAAAATAGTTTTTTTTTGGCGAACATAACAATACCAGAATGTAATTAGATAATAAAAGCGTTAGAATGTAATTAAATATTTTTGCTTGTTTCGTAGGGCTCCATTACTGGTACAACTTAAGAAAGGATATGAGTTGTGACGAATTTTATCCAATGTTCCTTTTGTATAATGACGGTAAATTAAATGCTTTTGGTTGGGCATTCATCGCAGACTTGACTTCACCTAGACTAGAACATCCACCACACGCATCAATTTCTGTAAGTATTTTCATTACATTAGTTCTTTACACGTTCCATTCACTTCTGTGAACATTCTTATTCTAAATCATCAGATGTCGGAAAAAGTATAAAATCTTGATTGCCTCCTTTGAAATATTATTAAAAAATATGATTCTTTATGTACTTTTCCAACTGTCTTCATATTTCAAATTGCTTAGGAGTCAAAAGTGCACTTTAAAGCTTAAAAAGTAAAGTTTTGCTGTTTTGTTAGTTTTCGTCATATCTGTCTTAATTTAGCATTTTTGCAAAAAGAACTGAGCATCTTCTGTTAACTTCATAAAAAGATAATGACTTTGAACGTCTTATCAAATTTTTCAAAATATATTAGAACTGCTCAATTCGTAATGAATCAATTTTCAATGATCTATGATTTGACCTAGGGATATAACTTGCAAACGAAAACAAGTTTTATAATCAACTATTTTTGGGGATAATATTTAGTGAAATATCAAGAAAAGAATAGCATATGCATATATTTACTTGATGGTCATTTTAACATAGCTACATAAAATGATCACAAAACGACAGAATGTTCTACCTTGTTTTATTATATTACAGAGTTTCATGAATCCACCACCAGACTGTCTGTTCAACTCTGGAACATTATCTACGATGCACATCTATTTGTCCAACAACCCTTCTTTGAACACATGCTAAGATGAAGTTTTACCTCTGTGTTTATTATAGATTAATTTTGCAAAAGACATTGTATATGGTATTTCTTTCAAAGCTATCGGTCTATGTGTATTTGAATTAGACAGACAATATTCAAGAGATTATAACATGTATTTATAAATAATTAATTTTTTTAATGGAAACATACAGTATAGTTTAATAAATTATGATAATTATAGTTTATCGATGGCATTTCAAAAGAGAGGGTGTTTCTCTTACTTAAACAAAAGATCAATCAAAGATGCTAAAACAAACTAAACATAATTATAAACAAATCAGAAATAATAATGATGCCAAACACGCTGTTCAACCGAATATTTACTCAAAGACGCGTTTAAATTTGTAGTGGCGGGTACGTGACTTCTCAAGATACGCGAGAAGAATCGATATACCGCGAGATTCTAATCCTTCTCACTATACAAATCCTTTATCTGATGAAATTTTTAAGATGTCTCCACAGATTAAATATATTACCATTGATTTGCCTGAACAAATCTCAATTTAAATGACAGAAATATCAACAGCAAGCGCCTCCCTTTTGAATTTGACAATATCCCGAACATTTCCAGTGTTCATATCAGATTTGACTTATTTCTGAACATTTAAAATTGAATGCGTTGATCACTTGGCAATATTGTACCGCATCACTCTATTTTTCATTGGAGATACTGTTGTTTTCAAGTTCCATCACGTAACTTGCCCTTTTATTAAATTACCTCATTTAGCTGTAGATTGAAAGATTTGAATTATACAAAAAGTCTTTCTTCCGATCAGGATCTAAAACTAACATGTCCTTGAAAACTTCCTTTGGTTGATATTTACAAATATTTTGTGTTAGTCTGAGGACAATGCTTAGAAATAGAATATTAACTCATTAGGAAACATGAAATCATCATGTTTTTTTTAAAGGTTTTGGCCGAAAAGTCCAGACATAGATGAGATAAAAGTTATTTGCCCTAAAAATTCAACCTCTAAGGTGTTTCCCTATATGCGGACAAATCATGAAAATTATCGAAATGTTTGATCTGTATTTGTATTTTGAATCTAGTTTTTAACGAATTGGGGTTATTTTATAGAGAAATAATACGATGGTTACTTTTCCTATTTTCAAACTAAAAATACTGAAAGTGTTCTAAGATGACAACGATAATGTGTACACGAACAGACTAAAGACAAAATAACTTGAACATATGCATTTATTATCCTATTCAAATGCATGGCTGTCTTCACGATAAGGCAATATGGCCTATATGCATAGTAGAGAAGTATTCAAAATTTTGTCATATGTATCTCCCAAGTTCATGCAAAACTGTTTATCATACTTTGTCCGTCTCTGAGTCAATTATAGTGTTCGTATCAGACGTGAAATGAATAAATGTGAAGTACATATAGTTTGCCTACAATAGACGGTTCAAAAATGTAAGTCAATGAACTACCGTTTTCTGCATAGATAAGCATTCCTAATTATGAATAGCTATCACTTAAACATGTTAAAGGCTGTTGATATTTAAAGTCATGTCATTTCGACAAAGGGTGGAGGACACCGTATACTGGTAGTATTTTAATGAACATAACAAATGACATATTTGGCTTGTTATCTTACTAATTTTGTTAATGTCAGTTGAGTAAACAAGGTTATTGCATATATACGGATTGAATTAGAAATTGAACGCTTTTCTGTATCAATTACTTTGACCACTAGTAAATATATCCTGATTCGAAACGAATATTTTCATCTGAATCGATCTTAACGGTTTGAACAAAAAAAAGTAAAGGTTAAATTTTCAGTCATTATTTTTTACTTTGAACTGCGATATTGTTCAGACGCATACCATACTATAAATTAAGATCTATACAGCTTTTTTTCATCTGTTCAGTTTCATTTTACCTTTCACTCACTCAAAGGAATGACTGGGGTATAGAAATATGGTCATCCGTAGAGACTGCAAGAAGTATAAATACGCAGCTACGTCCAGTCGGAATGGAGACGTTAAATCTCTATTTCTTGTGTAGGGCGAGGGTAACACTCTCTGGACATTAAAATACATTGAAAAAACTTTCTGATGGGTCTGAAGATTGGCTCCTGAAAGGCAAGTATTTGCCCTTATCCAACATATCCCCATTTTTAAGTGGAAGTCTAAATTTTCCGACCTTCCTCCCAGGCGGGCTACATTACAGAAACTAACTGGTGATTCTTAATTTGTTCCCGCACTTAGTATGCATGAAATATTTGTCACTAGACGTTGAGGAATCAGCAATCAATTGGTATGTTTTCCTATGTAAAACATATGGCAGAGAGAACTTAGTATCAGAAAAATAAGAAGATTTAAAACATTAAAAGAGCCACCTGAACTGATCGAATGTGGCTCATTTCAAGATAAAGGTAAAAATATTGGCAGGCAAGCTCAGATTCTAAACGTATACACGCCAGTGAACAGGAGGAAGTCTCCCATAAAAAGTTGTTTTTCTCTTAAACATCCAAGACGATTAAGGTGCAATCCTGATAATACAAATGATTATGTGATGTTTATTAAAAAGTGTAAAAGTCTTTTTTTGATAAATTGAGTACATAAACAGTTTTCATCACATTAATTTTTCATTGTTGAGTTTTCTGGAATAGTTTAGACATTTTATACTCCAAGAGTTGGATCAAATCCGTGGTCATCTGAGAAACAGATATTCCAGAATTGACAACCAATTCATGACGGCGTCTGTAAAATTTTCGAAGGGATGTCTTCATCTTAACAACTAGGAACCCTTGGTTCAATAGCGTACCTGTAAGAAAGAACCCTCTATCAAGCCATCATGATATGAAAAGCAAGCTTTAGAATATCGTACCAACTGGGAGACATACACTCCATATGCAGGCACTGCAGATATGCTGCTACATAGAAATGAAAAGTTCACGCATGAACAGCTGATATCATTTTTTTTACTCATAAAGTTTTGTTTTAAACTGACACTCATTGTTAATTTTTAGATGTAACTCAAGAAGGTAAACTTAATTGTAATTCATGTATCCTATTTCAAGTATGATGGGATAGATGAGTTCAACATAGTCACCAAACTTTGAGTTATTTAATAAGAGGACATAATCTATATAGCGGAACGTGAAGTTAAATGATAATGCTTGCTTTTTTCCCGAGAAGCACATGTATGACGTCTGACTCATATGAACAAAGAAATAAATCAGCATACAGAGGGTTACAGTTGGTTCTCGTAGGAGTGCTAATTGCCTGTTGAAAATCACGTCCTTCAAACGTAACAAATATGTTGTCAGTAATATAAAAATCAAGCATTTTAATGATGTTTGTTTCAGAATTTTTCGATTGAATCAGAGTGGTTTTTTTTAACAAGGTATGATTTATCCCTCTTTCAAACAAGATATTTGTATTTTGTGTTGGCCGTTCTTTTTTACGAAACAATGCTCGGCTTATTCTTTCAAGCTATCTTTAAGTTTTGAATGAGGAATGCTCGTGTAAAGGGTAGAGAAGTCAAATGTTTGTATACTGTTGAAAGAGGAAAGATACATCGACTGTATGTACTATAACCGATCTTTAGAATTTTTTAGCATCCACATATGATTCACATCTCCCCTAGATTTGGCTTTGATTGCTGACTTATAAGATAGATTAAAATAATTTGAAGAGTTTTCGTTGAGTATTTGGCAGACATAGTAATAAAACGTTGTTTCTATAAACACTTGTGTAATATTGGTATCAAGGATAGTGTATAAAGACCCAGTTCTTCGCCTTTAGTTGGAATTGAAAGAGAATATAGAACAGACCTGTTTGTTTAAGGATTACCTTTTTTGTAAGTGGGAGTATATGTTGCAAAATGTAAAACAGTTCAAAAGAGAAAACCAACGACCCTTTAACTACAATGAACGAAAAATAAATATATCAGACAGCAACCAGCTGCAGCCACTGGATTACATGTTCCTTGCTTTGAACAGGCACATACTACTAAATTCAATAAAACTTTCGAAGAAGACTTCAATTCAAGTGCTTCAGAATTTGCAATATTGAAATGACTATTTCACCCGGTTTATAAAATGATATATTTGAGATAAAGCTTAGGTTACAACTTCCTCAGGCAAAGTTGACCTTGGACAATTTTGGCTGCTCTATTTAATCACTGTGAGATTTTTGACTCTCAAACGTTTGATATTATTGGCTTTCCAAATCTTGGTCTTAAGCGTGCGTGTCGAGACAATATCTGAGAGACACGCTTTTTTTTTATTACTAAGAACCCTTAATTTAACTGTTTCCCTGTGAACATCAATCCTCATCAAATAACATCGTTAAAGGAAGTCCTGGAATAGCAGATCAATTGGGCATATACTCCTTATACGTGAACTGCAAAAATGTTGCATCGTCAAAGTGAAAAGTTCACAATGAAGAAATTTAAATCATCTCTTTTATCTACTAATTTAGTTCTCAACTGACCGTGAGTGTTAATTTTCAAGATATGAAGCACGCCTAGTAGTATCTGTGTATACCTTTCAAGAACAACTAGATAGATGTTCACAGTTTCGTCACAAAACGTTGAATTATAAGATAAGAGATCATAAGAGGACATCATCTTTAAAGCGGAAAAGGAAGTTCAAGGATAAATACAAGCTTGTTTTCATTCTTCTTGAGAAGTCCCTGTATGAAAACTGTAAATAGAGTAAATGGGCAAGTTGGTAACGTCTTAAATTTTGATGAAAGAAAAGTCACCCATGAAATTCCGATGTGTCTTGAATTACAAATGTTGCCATATTGTAACGTGTAACGTTGTAGAAAATTGAATGATTGAAAAGCTTTCAAGATATAACAACCAAATAGAAATGATTAATACAGAAAAGTGAAAAAATATACTTTTTTCTCTCAGACATATCTTAGTTGCTAGAATATTTCTGTTTTTGCTGTCTAATGTGTGAAACGTCTGATCAGACCGTTGAAGTTGAATCTAAAAATCAGCCTTTTTTCAGATTTCTTACTCAATGCTGTAAGTCCGTGTTTCAAACTGCCTCTCAAAACTCTTAGTACATTCTTTCTACATTTCCACTATTCAGACATTTATCTAATTTGAACTAAAATATATGCATGTAGTTTTGCCGCTTTTGATTGGAATTCAACTCACTCAGCAAATGTTTGTATTGTTGCTTCAAAGTATGATTTCATTCATTACTCCTTCAAACTTTTCATTATTCTGATAACATTAGATATTCAGGTAAAATAGTTTATTAAAAAATTAGATCACCAGGAGATATGTTTTTGTCTTAGGATTTATATACTTTGTTGCCAAGTATAAGCAATGATAGAAACTTGTTTCTGTTCTAGGATAAATGCCAAGAATGAGTAGGATTTTATATACTTTGTTTTCAAGCATAAACAATGATAAAAACTTGTTTCTGTTCTAGGATAAATGTCAAGAATGAAAAAAAATAAATAATAGAAAGATGATAATTCCTTAAAAAGTAAAATGGGTATCTACATGATTGTATGATAAAACAATGTTTAACACTATATCAAGAATTGTTAGACATCTCCTTTCTGTTGCGATAATGTTTTGGCCAACGAACATCAAAAAGTTTCTTATCTTTAAACCAGGTTTTCATCTCTTGAACCGTTGTTGGTAGCGGGCGTCCCATTGTTTCTGGCAAGGTCAACAACATAACAGTACAAATTATATTCAGTACAGCAAAGATGACCGCCGGTCCCCAAAACACATGTTCAGCCTAAAACAAATAATAGTTAAAAACAAATCATCTTAGAAAAACTATAAATAGTCACTTCCATAATGATGTCTGTAGTTATTGTGTGCATGTAATTATGGTATTATGTAAATTTCATGAACTTTATTTATAAAAATAAAAAGATGTGGTATGATTGCCAATTCACCATTATTATAGAGTATAAAAGAGGGACGAAAGATACCAGAGGGACAGTCAAACTCACAGATCGAAAACAAACCGACAACGCCATGGCCAAAAATAAAAAGACAAACAGACAAATAATAGTACAGATGACACAACATAGAAAACTAAAGACAAAGCAACACGAACCCCACCAAAAACTTGGAAGGGTAAACAGATCCTGCTCTATAAGTGTGGAAGTATGATTCCACTTGCAGGTATTAAATGAAAAACGTAATGTATAAACCAGCTCTTTTATGTGAAAACATTATATCTAACAAAGGAAAAGAAATAGGCCAAACTTTAGGGTTTGAATGTTTTGTAGATTCTTCAAAAATGCACAAATAATATAGAAATGAAAATGGATTCGGAAATTAGAAAGTGGAGATGTCATACAATGCTATCATTTTACCTAAATGATAAAAAGAGCTAATCTTGACAATTTAGAAATGAATGTGCGGGGGGGGGGGGGGGGGGGGGGGTTCAATACTCACAAAACTATTATAATCACGCCACGTGTTAATGTTCTTTTATTATTGTTCATGAACTTTCATAAGTTGTCTTTGTATACATGTTGGTATTATTATTTGGTATCCATGGCAGTTATTTGTAATTGTTGTTAAATCAACATTCACTAAATTACGAGACTCGTTGCGATTAAGAGCACGACACATATTATATACTCTCTTCTTATGTCAGAGACCTTATGTAGGGTATACTTAAGATATTTTTTAGTTTTATTGTATGGCTGTGTTGCTGACGTAGTGAAATTTATCTATTAAATATTTGTATTCATATTTGGAAATCCTGTTCATTCAAAATAGGGTGTTCAGTTATCATTACATTCAAAATAGGGTGTTCGGTTATTATTACATTCAAAATAGGGTGTTCGGTTATTATTACATTCAAAATATTGTGTTCGGTTATTATAACATTCAAAATAGGGTGTTCGGTTATTATTACATTCAAAATAGGGAGTTCGGTTATTATTACATTCAAAATAGGGAGTTCGGTTATTATTACATTAAAAAAAGGGTGTTTGGTTATTATTACATTCAAAATAGGGTGTTCGGTTATTATTACATTCAAAATAGTGTGTTCGGTTATTATTACATTCAAAATAGGGTGTTCGGTTATTATTACATTCAAAATAGGGAGTTCGGTTATTATTACATTAAAAAAAGGGAGTTCGGTTATTATTACATTAAAAAAAGGTTGTTTGTTTATTATTACATTAAAAAAAGGGTGTTTGGTTATTATTACATTAAAAAAAGGGAGTTCGGTTATTATTACATTAAAAAAAGGGAGTTCGGTTATTATTACATTAAAAAAAGGGTGTTTGGTTATTATTACATGAACGATACGAATTATGTATATGTGATAATAAAATACTACTGTTCTGTTTCATTTATTTCATTTATATTTGGCAGTTTTTTAATCAATATGTAACAATATATTACTCTATGAAGCCCAGTACAATGTTTTTTGTTCTTCTTAGATATACAGCAAAAGTGTGCACCAATCTGATCAGAACTAAATTAAGTCAACAAATTGTGAAAAGAACATTCCCTTGCAATGACACTGGAAAGTAACGACGATTTCACTGTACCAATGATGTATTTCTTGAATTATTACAAAACGCGCTGCTTTATATAATGACGATTGTAAACACTATTTCACAGTACCAATAACGTATTTCTTGAATTATTTCAAAACACGCGTCTTTATATAATGACAGTCATATCAACCATAAACAAAAAGGATTTCTTTAACTGGTCAGTCTGGCGGATTTAGCTTTCTTTTGTTATAATCAGTACTAGTATATGGAATCTATTTATGGATATCCTTAGTACTGTATTCATTTTCTTACCAGAGTAGCAGCAAATGGTGAAATCATTGATCCTATTCTAGATATCGTTGACGCCATACCTAGTCCAACATTCCTGCAATCAAATTAAAATGTTTATATAGTATGTTCATCAGTATATTCCATTTCTCAGTCCGTTTTATTTTGACTTTTTAACTTTTCTGATTTTAGCGTCACTGATGAGTCTTTTGTAGACGAAACGCGCGTCTGGCGTACAAAATTTTAATCCTGGTATCTATGATGAGTTTATTTACACTTGGTAACAATCGGGAATATCATTTCAATTTCAGTTTCAATCAGCATTATTCGTGTGTTTTTAAGTTGGTACTTGCTTTCTGCGTTTAAATATTTACTGGTTATTTCTAATATAGGGATTATAATGAGTTGCATTCTGATATCTTTGTGCCTTGTATTTTTTGCAAGAAAAATAAGTGGCTCTCTTTTCATTAAAGCATAAAGTGTGTATCATTCTTTAATGATTTAAATAAACGTCTTTTTGAAACAAATTAAGTTTGAGGTTTTCTGTTTAAAATTGATTTAATATAACAAATATTTCGAAATAAGTCGAGATGTGATATTTTTTCTCTTTCTAGGAAAATAATGATATACAAAAAAAGATAAACAAACAGAATAACTATGCACTGCCACCTGTTGTTGTAATGTTATATGACATACTGTAAATATAATACTTCCTACCTTAAATTGGTAGGATACAGCTCAGGTGTATAAAGGAACACACTACTGAATGAACCCACAGCAGCGAATCTTCCTAGTATAGAGAAAAATGTCGACAGAGGTGTCAGCCAATCGTATTGTTCTAAAATAAACCAAACATTATTGTTAATTTTACCCTTTTTAAAGTATCAAAATTTGTCGAAGTAATGAATTGTTGTATGTCGTTACTGTTGAGACACTTGCTGTTAATTTACCTGTACAGTAAAATTTCGTATGTCAGTATTTATTTTTATTTAAGTGGTAAACAATATAGATTTATACATTTCTATGAATTAATATTCATATAAAAAAATTAACGGAGAGAATTCATTAACATAATAAATTATCATCAACTTTTTATCCTTTACTTACTAGATACATAAACAGCAATTGGTTTGTCCTTTTTTCTTTTTTTTCAGGACGAGATACATGTTTATTATAACAACTACAGGTCCAGAAGATAATAAAGGGATGTGACTTTTTAATAAAAGTACTCCCTATATTCAATATCAATATTTGATGGCACAAAAAAAGACATAAAAACAAATTGCAAATCAATTATCAAATACATGCAGTGTCTACATTTAAAATAACTAACGATACTCTGGTATAAAATAATAGGGAAATATGGTACATACTTGAATAAGTGAAGCAAAGAGAGGAGGCGATTAGCGTTACACCTGCTAGACCATGATACATCACAAGTACATATCGTCTGCCTATTCTAAAAAATAAATACACAAATAAATAAATGCAAGAAAATCCTTTAATTACATCCGACCCATGCAAATTCTTCAATGTAATACATATTTGGAGCAGGATTTACTAAATTTACTAACCCTTCCGGAGCACCTGAGACCACCCCCGGTTTTTGGTGGGATTCGTGTTGCTCAGTTTTTGGTTTTTTATGTTGTGTTTTGTGTATTGTTTTGTGTCTTACGTCGTTTTTTTCGTTTTTTGCCTTGACATTGCCACTTTGTTTTCGACTTATGAGTTTTAATATCACTTTGATATCTTCCGCCTATCTTCTTGAAGCGCATAAGAAAAACATCTAATTTTAAAGTCAAATATTCAAAAACTGTCAATCTCAAGCGTACTTGATGGCGTATTCTCAAAAACGTGTCATGTGCAACGGTATAATATCTCATAGGTTTTAAACTAAAATAATATTTTTATTAGCAACTTTAGATAAAAGTATATCCGTAAAACTAAGGTGTTTACTCCGTAAAGAAAAGTTGAATGTAGACATTTTTTACTACTATTTTCTCCCCTTTGTAATAACTCCCAATATAACAAAGCTTCTCTTTCTTTTCATATTTTTCTTGGGTCCATTGAAACTGAATCTAGACCAACGTTTTGAACGCACTTATATTTGAACTTATTACATCAGTGGTCTATATAGAGTAATATCATACGCCGCTTGTTCATTGTTGAAGGTCTAATGATGACAACTTTTATGTCCGTTTTTTTGTAAACTTAAGTTCTTTCGTATGTGGTTCACGTTTATCCTTTATCTCCTAATATTCTTATTTAGAGCAACGAAATTTAATCATAACAAATATATTCTATGTGCTGTTAACAAAAAGGTCAAATGTAGACCAGTGTATTCTGATAAAAGGCATGACTTTTTTTTAATATTTGCGGTCTGAAACAAGCAATGAGTACGTTGTACGTTTACATCCGATAACAAGTTTACTAAACGATTTTGGCGTACACAAAATAAAGGTACAAGGTGTTCCTTCCCGTTTATGCTTAAACATTGTAGTGTGTAAAAACAATGAAACAAAACAATGTTACATGTACATGCTTGTTATTCTTACAGAAAATTATAACCTACTTCATAACGATACGAACATGTATTTTGACCAGAAACAGTTTTAGGAACCATCATGAAATATATACATCTTCTTTTACATTCAGTGGTATTTTAACTATGATTATTATATTTCATTTAAAAAAGACAAAGAACGATGAAAACTTGAACAAGAAGTTGTAGGAAACAGAAAAATTATGCTGCATACAGCACGTTCCACAATTTGGAATTATTTACACTGTATTTATGCTATATGCATTATTTATTAGTATTGGTATCTTATGTTGTGTTTTGTATACTGTTGTTTGTCTTTTGGTCTTTTTTTGTTTTTTTGCCATCTCGTTGTCAGTTGATTTTTAGAATTATGAGTTTGAATGTCCCTTTGATATCTTTCGTCTCTCATTTAGTTGCACAAATCACACTTTTGAAGGTTGTAATCTCAAACAAGTGTTCTGTAATTTTTTATCATTGTCTGTTTTTACTCTGTTCGCCTCACCACTGCGTCAAACAAATACGGTTGTACCTTTTATTTCCGTTCTAAATACGCATCTCGAAAATAAAGCTGTTGCTGCACTTTTGCATATTTGAATAAAATATAAATAACAATATGTGAATGCTGTATATACGTTTTTACGAATCAGTATTGCTTCAACGGATAATAGTTACCTGTTTATAATAAGCTGTTGGAAAATAATGGCAGGAACCTCAGCGAGGGCACCTAATATATTGTTCAGATATCTGTCACCAGCAAATTTGGATGTCATTAACATTAATCCATAATATGTCAGTGTATTTGTTATCCTATCATAATAGATACAAGCACATCATTAAATTCATGCATATATTTTTTTATATTCACTGTAAAAAATGTATTGGTTTTTAGATCATGAATACATGATTAACGATCTTATATAATTGTGATCACAAAAAAAAAATACTTTCTGTTCTTTTTAGTTCTGTTTTTGTTTATTTCTGACTTGTAAATAAGTATCATTGACATAACAAACTAGCATAAATAAGAAAATTTTTCAGACATGACGCCATTCGAAACTTTACCATGGTAGGGCGATACTCTGGTGGATTAATGCCCAATTGGTTACCATAGCACATCTCCTTATTTGTATATACTATATTATTTTAAAACGTAAATAATAACATTATATAAATATATCATTTTGGTTTGCAAATACCACTCACGTGGTGGTTTAAAGTTATGTCATGTGTTCCAATAAAACACAAAATTAATGACAGCACGTGCTCTCCGTGACAATGTCACAACCATGTGCAGTAAATAAAATATCTATAATGAAACAATCGAAGTTCTTGTTTTGACTTTATAATTTTTAGAATTGATTACTTCTTTTTGTAGTTTAATAGGGTTGTAAAAACGTTGTCAATGATCACATGTTTCGTAAGAATCGCATACAGGTCGCTTCATTTTAAATATGCTTCGGTCAACTCTTTTCACTCGTAGATAATATCGGCACCGAGGTTTGGAAGGGTGGGTCTAACAGGCATAAAGAATAGCAATTAATGTTATTTGGCAAAGTTTTAACATTTGAATATGTATGTCTAAATTATATGAGAATATTTATTTTAAAAATGCATTGCCTCAACATGAACCTTTAGACAAGTCCCGAATCATAAGTACTTTGGCGCAGATAGGAACTATAAGGATTATAATGTTTTAACAGAAAAAAGGGTTGATAAATTGTGCATCTCAATATAACTTTAATCGAGTATAAGGAATGCATGGTAAATGCTCCAACTAGATGAAATACTACTGAAATGCCAGGTATCAATGGGCAGCTTTTTATCCCTTGATTCATCTACCTTCTCTTTTTCTATACAGATTTTGTTAGATTAAAGTTCAATCTAAGTACAATTGATGGTAATGATTGGAGAACTGGGGATGTTTTTAACATTTTAAAGTGTTTAAATCACAATTGTTGCTTTCTCTGTTTTCTATGATTAAGATTTAAAATGGTTATTCTTGCATAAATTCTATTGGTCCTTAAGCAACTATCATTTCATACATGACCAGCTACAGGCCTTGATATAGTTTCAAATTGCCACTTTATTCATTAGGGTTCTTCTATGACATGCAAATTCGTAGCGAAAATCTACCAAACAATTACATATTTGTGAATTTCTAAACGTGTGGTGATAAGCGACCCCAATAAAAGAAATCGTGTCATACGTTTAAAATAAATAAAGCAAGGAAACATATACACAAATGCAAGAAAGACAACACAAAAAATCCTAATAACAAGTAAACATTACCAATCCTCTCCCCCTAAAAAATGGCAAATATAAACAATAGCAAAAGAAAGACTTTGTATATCTTACCATATCACCCATAAAAAAACTGAAACTAGAAGAATTTTTTTATGCTTCAAAATGGTGAAAGCTGAGTATTTGTGGACTTTTTGTTTAACCTCGGTCGTTCCATTGACTTCCAACGGCTGATGGTTGCCGTTTGATTCCGGTTTTTCCGGAGGTTGTATAACGAGCTCCATCGAAGTAAGCGGTTGTTTCTTTTTTACTGATTCCATTACGGATTCAAAACTTTGGTTGTTCCATGAGGCTGCTTTCTTTATTATCTTTATTGCCTGTTTTGTTTTCCCATTCGCAAGGAGCCATCGTAGCGATTCGTCGAGAAATCTGTAAAACGTTACATTATGGCAAATATTTATGAATAATTACTGCACAAGACTATCAAATAAAATTTGATGATTTGTTCCAAAATATTGTGTTTTATCTGATGATATTGAGAAAAGGAGTTTTATAGAATTATCTTTCCTATTTATACTTGCTACTCAAAATGTGTTCTATTGATGAACTTCATTAAAATAATTCGATGTGTACTTCCAATAAGATAGTCACCTGCCGAACATTTGTTGAAAAGTAAATAATTGTTAAGGCTCCATTTTTTGCTAATTTGTGCATAATTAAACTTTGGACCCTTCATGCATATATAATATAAAGTTGATGTTTGAGCTGAAAATATATCTGAAGTACAAACATTATATTGACCTAGCTTCTATTTTTTAGTTATGAATACTAACGATCCTACATCTTGTCGATACTTCTATTTAGGAAGTTCCCATGGTCATGTTTTTCGAAAATGTTTATGATGCCTTTACACTAAATCCATTAATATTGGATGTGTACTGATTGATTTGAGTGTTGGAGACCTTGTTATTCATAAGTTGTAATTAGCTTTGAAATAGCTTATCGTAACGGCAGTGCTATTATATCGATACTTTGTGTCTTTAGTCTTTTTGTTGTTGTTTTTTGTGCTTTTTGTCAATCTGATGAATCAAATCCTTTTCAACTGATTGTTTTCTTTGTTGCCCTGTTAAACGATTGTCCAAGGTTAGTCGAGGGTTGGTCGCTCGTAAACATGATATAACCCCTCCACATTTTGGATGTGCTTGTCCAAGTCAGGAGCCTGTGATTCAGTGGTTGTCGGTTGTCGATGTATGTCGTATTTGTTTTTTTTCGTTTATTGCTTTAAGTACATATCAGGCCGTTAGTCTTCTTGTTTGAATAGTTTAGCATTTTGTCATTTAGTGTTCTTCTATAACTTACTATATGGAATGGATTTTTCTCATTGTATGATGATCAACATATATAGTTGCTTACATCTACGGCATTTAGTCTCTGGTGGATAGTGGTCTGAATGACAATCATACCACGTCTTTTTATATAGATTGTTGAAAATGATATAATAACTTATAATATGCGAGTAAGCATTTTTTTTAAATATCTAGTTTGTTTATGAATGTTACTCGTGGATGATACAGCAAGGTTCAAAATGTTGCGTTTTTTTTAATTTAAGATTTACTTACAACCAATCAAAAACAACATGCCATGATAATAACCCTAAAATCATCTGGAAATATCTCCATGGCAGATTTTGACAAATGTATCCAACAACGGAAGTAAAAACAATCCCCAATGTCCACGCCAAGAATGCTAGTCCTTCTCCTTGATGACGAAATTCAGTTGGTAGTAACTCTACACACATGGTTGTACCAGTCATCACACTGCCCTTACAAAATAATAAAAAAAAAATGGATAACAGTTTCTCATCTCTTAATTCCACTGTGAAATAAATGCAAAAATGTTTATTTGTAAAAAAAAAATGGTGTATCATACAGGAGAAAACAAACTAAAATTATAATGTATATCCGATTTTGGCGTTTGGACGAGGTCAAACTATCGTCATTTTTTATCATTGTCATTAGCCGCATCTTGTTTATGATTGATAACATATGCCATTATGAAATAAACGACAATATCCGATATTTTCAAATTCAAAATTATGTTGAAATTATTTAATTGTAGTTTCTATGTTGTGGAAAGGATTCCAGAAGCATAATTGCACTGAATAAAGCATGAAGATATGATAATGCATTTGCGCTCAGCGACTGACATTTTCAATCGGATAATTAAACTTGTGCATGGCTGACACCATAAAATACATTGACTTCGTTCAATCAATCAATTCATCTTAGTACGCTTTTTTTAGATTCGTCTTTCCGGCATATGAAGTACGTATATATATGCATATTCATCATAAAGGCTGTTCGCGCCTTTATTTGATACAAAAAGAAATTCATATTTTTGCGCTATGCTCAATTAGTGAGACACTATCGAAGGAACAACAGAAATTCTTATTGTTATGACGTTATTAAGTTAAAACTTTTGTCTGATCCATTTGTCATTTTGAACATTTAAACTTTAGTCATACTAACCCTGTGTCAGTGCAAAGATGTCAAGTGATATAGTTTTAAGAATATAATAGACTGAAAATTCAAAATATGTCTTAATGATTCAGTGCCAGTCTGCCTAAGAATCAGGCTGTGGTGAAAAGACGACAAACAAAAACCCGCTCAAGTTTACAGTAATTTAAGTTCAAAATGTATAATGATGCACGAATATAACATTTGTTTCCTTTTCCTATTCTGGTATTTCTAGTTATAATTTGGTTGAAATGCACTAGAAATTAACAATTAAGGGGAGCTAACTCCGTAATTTGCTATCATTCTATCCAAAAGTTATCTAGAGATTTTTCGAATTACCAGACACTTATAAACGAAAGACCTACCATTTCAAACTAAGCATGAGGGTAACTTCAAAATAGGATGGTTAGGTTGGCGGGTTTTTTCGACCATGTTTTGATATTCTTCTAAATTGCCTGATTCTTACAAAGACTGGCACTTTAACATGATTACTATTGTTACTTACTCCTTGAAAGGTTCCTATCAACAATCTGAAAACAGAGAAAACTGCAATGGAGGGTGAAAACATTGCAGTCACCCCGGCTATTAGATAAAGACTTCGAGACAAAATGTTAATTGGTCTCCTTCCGTATCTATCAGAAAGAGGCGAGAAAATAGCAGCACCTACAGCTTGTCCCAACATAATTAATGTCTGAGCCAACTCAGATCGTGCTGATCCCTCACAGACGAGGTCCCACTGAAAGTAAGAAAAAAGGTTTCAGATATATATTTGTAAGGAATTGGCATTCATTTTTAGGTAATGGTTTTGTGGTTTTCATTGGATATTTGGGTATTTTAATTTTGGGTTGGCAATTTGATTGCATGTGTGGTTTGTGAATACTCTTTTTGTTGGTTAAACAACATATTTAAGAAGTGTCAAAGTTTATTGACGTACAGTATTATAATCCACTGACTAATTATATTGATAAAATGTTAAAATGATAAAAAAAAAGTTTAGATTGTCAAAGAAAATATTGGTGAGTCGTGTTTTTTGGGGGATGAGGTTTCATTCACATTTGTCCTACCTCCCTTTTTTATATTCAAATTGAAATTATAAGACACACGGACATACGTATCTGTATTTGTTTATAGGATTTCTGTAATACCGCAGCTTAATAATTTCCTTTTAAACAAATTTCCATCAACGTATCACAATTATTTTGAAACGTCCGCTTTGTGTATGATTTGCAGTGTACATACGTACGCAGTATAAACGTTACTGACATGTTGAATCATTAAGTAAGAGGAGAGTCATGTTTATTTCGGATTAAATACATTTAACATGTTAGTTGCTGGTGGACTGTTAGTTTCCGTGGTAACCATCAGCTCGGTAGGCAGTACTTCGGTACTGACATGATTTATAACATCCTTTTCTTCTTAACTATTCTGTTGATAGATTGAGAAATTTTTAAGAAACTAAGGTTCCTCCAACTCCCTCATTCTATGGCTATTCTGTTTAGGGTTTTCAGTGGTATAATCTTTGAACTCTGAATCTAATCTTTTAAACTCTGAATCTTATCGTTAAACTCTGAATCTAATCTTTTAAACTTTAAATCTTATCCTTAAACCCTGAATCTAATCTTTAAAACTCTGAATCGTGCATTTGTAAATGTTTTTTATAATTTTGATCTAGTGCGTCATAAACAATTTTATGGATTAACCTTCATCAGTTACGCTCAATTCTAAAAATTGACTCTTGAAAGCCAATGATGTATAAATGTATTGATAACCGAATGCTAGAGGAACTATATGAACAAAAGGCGCACAAAAAGAATAGGCAAAATTTGCATTAGAGAGTTGGAACCTTGGTTTCTTGGTAATTTATAGGTTTACTGACTGAGAATTTAAGAAAAGTTTACTATAAATCTTGCCAGTACCGAAGCACTGACTACTGAGCTGATAATACCCTCGGGGACTAACAGTCCTCCACAAGCAGTACATGACAAAATGTTACAGAAAAGCACAGTAAAGCTTTAAACTTGTGACCTTTCAACATCCATTTACAGTATCATACTGAATTGCCATATTTTACAATGATAAAGGTTAACATAAAAAATACATATATAAACGACCTGCATACCTCCGTAACGGTCGATCTGTCTCTTGGCATATCGTATTCATAACCATTTGGACAAGACTGTGAAAATTGATATTCAGTACCAGTAACATTTGCGTTAATATCAATTTCGCACTTTCCATACTTGACATGTATATCAGATATGTTGGAAGCAGATTTGTATTGGTTATAGATCAACTCTGTTGCATTAACAGATTTACAGTTGTAATCTGGTCTGTAACCTATTTAAAAAAAAAATATTTTAGATAATTTTCAAAAAAATGTAGAGTATAATTTTTTTTAGTGTACATGATTTCTTAATTAACTACGGTAAAAACCGGCAATTTACATTTTCTATTTGAGAAAAGATATTTTTGTTGTGAAAAAAATCCGAGGAATAGATGAGGAATAGCAAAGACAACACGGAATGAAGAAGACAAACGTTAAAACTTGCAAGCAGAACATTTTTTAAGGAGATTTAATAGGGGCGGAAAAACGAAGAAAAATGAAGTTTACAATACAATAAATACCTGGCACTATTATACTTCTAATATAATAATTGAGCTTCGTCGGATAGAAATCGACCTTATGCAAGTACACATATACATGTACATGTGTAAGACTTTGACTGATTTTGGAACATTCAAATACGAAATAAAACATGAATTTTGGTCTGTTTTGTTGGGTTCTTATATCAACTCAATTTTTAAACAGTTACAGACTTTGCATAGAGATTTTTCAACCCGAAAAATGGTTAACAGGTGTATTGATATTTATTTGCATACGGTCGATTTCTATTCGACACAGCTCATCTATCTGTATATGTATCTTTTTATTCATAAGGAAAAGTAATTTACTAGATTTTTTACATTTTCTTAAAGACTCATTGAAATAGAGAATTGAATCAGAACTTGTTGTCTGTTTATCCTAATTACTTGTTTATAATTTACAAGCCGTTTTTCCAACACTATGAGTCAACAAAGGACAATTTTCAAGGGTGGGGTTATAAAATAGCTTTGTCAACATTTAGAAAATGAATATGAATTTAAAGATTTGAACCATCTGCAGTACACGAAAATTCATATCACGTAAATGAAAATGTACAATGATGATCATTTATGTACAAAGTTGGCAAGATATATTACTCCTTGTTACTTACAAATGTACAAATATTGATATGTTCTTAATATGGACTTTATGCCCATCTATGTGTCATTGATCGCCTCTGTGGTCTCTTGGTATAATGTTCGCCTCGATTACGAGAGATTCGTGGGTTCGAACCCCAGCCGGATCAAACCAAAGACTTTAAAATTGGTATTTGCTGCTTCTCCGCTAAACATGCGGCATTAAGAAGTAAGAGCAAAGACTGGTCGGCTCGGAGTCAGAATAATGTGTCCGGCCGCAGTGGCGTAACTTGCATTCTGTTATTACCGAGGCAGGGAGTCTGGGGGCGCAGCCCTCCCCCTTAAGCTGTAGAGCTTTAGAAATTTGAACAAGAAGATTCTATTAAAAATAGCAGTTGTTTTATTTTACTTCATCATAATAATGTTAATATGCCTTACACTAAGTTATACTACAGATGTTTTAGTCACTGTTGTTTACTGGTTCCTACATCATTTTGAATGTTCAGTTGAATACTTAAATGTTCTCAAAAACATTTACCACTTTTTCAAATTGAATCCTTTCAGTGAACTTCCCAGATTTTAAATTCTTTACGAATAAAGGAGATGGATATGGGGTATATTTTAATGACACAGCAAGTCAACAATACAGCTGTGATCCACCAAGAAATCATGTCAGCTGACTTACAGAACCAAACAAATTCAGGATCTCAGCTAGCGCTTTACAAGTAGACGCAACAACAAGATTCAAAACGTGCGATATACAATGCTGATAATATGCTCTTGGTTGGATTTGCTGTATGTGGGTTTTAATACCAGAAACATTACCAGACATCACGCTAGCACCATTTCTTGATTAACTATGAAATAAACACGTGCTACATGTAAAGTGCTCCACGGCACTTTCATTGGTTGTGTTTTGTCCTGATATTTCTTGTAAGGTCTTCCGATTCTTACATGGTTTTGAACTTTTTTCCCATTTTGAAAGTGACAACCGGTGACTCCGACATTTTATGATTAGTGAAAACTACCGCAAAGGGATCGATATTTCCAATTAGAGGAGGGAAATGTTTCCATTAGTCTTGAACTCGCAAAGGGTATGAAACAATAACGGCAACAATACAATACAAGTCGGTATTTTAGCGTTTAGTAGCGAGTCTGCTGCATTTTTGAAAATTGTTTAAAAGATTATAAAGAATTTTTTTTTATTGTTTATTTTTTTTATATTTTTTTTTACCGAGGTTGCCTCAACGTAAGCTACGCCAATGCGGTGGGTAAGGTGACATGCCTTCCTGTGGACTGTTACCTTGTGAACTAGCACGTTAAAAATCCGACTTAGCGTGTCGGTCTAATACAAAGCAGGGTTAATATTTATATTACATTAACATGTTCTCGTCCTGAATATGCATGTTAATTTGCCGCTGGACATTAAGCAGCCATCCATCCATCATCATCATCATCAATGTGTCATTGTAATTTATTTTTCATTGCAGAACCTTTCTGGACACTTCCATGGTTAGATATTCAAGATGGTTTAAATAAGTGAAATGATACTGAAATCAATGCAAACATAGAGGGGAAAGTGATGAAGTAGCAGATAATGATGCGATTTTTTGTCACAAGTTTTATATGATTTTGGACAAATCATACAAATACCACCATACTGTCAGCTAAATACTGTTAAGATCTTATTCACTAAAAATGACATTAACACATGTTTATTTAAAATCAATTATGAATATATGTATATATACAATATATATCTTCAATTACAACATATGCATTATGATCATATGAAATTGAACAAAAATATTAATTTATTAGTTAGTATAATAGTCCCAGTAAATACCTATAAAGGTGGACAAAGCAAAGACACAGCAAGTAAATGAATATTAAATAGGCAAGTAAATACATGAGAAAATATAATGAATGCATTGCTGTGTAAATTCCTCAATGTGTCGTATATATATAACGACATATTCATAAACAGCTTCTAGTAACGTTTCTCAATTTTAATTGACCTAGATATCGAAAAATTATAGAATATTAAGTTTTAATTAAAAATTGATATAAAACAACTTTTTGTTTCTATTTTAATTTTTTTCTCTAATTAAAAAATATACAGTTGCTAGGTTAAAAGATTGTAGATCGTAACCTCGTTATAGGACAAGTTAAGTTCATTTAAAATATTGTAAAATTAAATCTAAGATTAGTAATCTTACACCTTAAGGCTCTTGCAGAACAATACACAAAATAATGAAATCAATGAATGTTAATGTCAGTATTATTGAAGTCTACTAAATTGTATTACGGTCAAGTTTATCTTTAAGATTATATTATATGCACTCACGGACTGGATGTAGGTTAAAAAGACGCAAACTGCGTGGTCGTGACCATAGAAGAAATATATGTCACATGGTTCTATATAGCACGGGATAAGATTCTTTTATACGAAACTCTTTCACAAGTAATTGATTTTTGGCTTAAATCATCATTTTGGTCATACTATTATTAGCTCACCTGGCCCGAAGGTCCAAGAGAGCTTTTCCCATCAACTGGCGTCCGTCGTCTGTCATCGTCGTCCGTCGTCCGTTAACTTTTAAGATCATCTCCTCTGAAACTACAGAGCCAAATTTAATCAAAGTTGGCCACAATCATTATTGGGATATCTAGTTTATAGAAATGTCCGATGACCCCGCCTGCCAACCAAGATGGCAGACATGGCTAAAAAAAGAACATAGGGTTAAAATGTAAGTTTTGTCTATTATTTTGAAAACCGCTATAAATAGAGAAAATCTGACAGGCGAGAAATGTTCAGAATGTTGAGCTTTACCTATTATTTATTCACGACAAAACTGTCAGACAATTCCTTATTGGGGTTATTGTCTTAAAATGGCAAATTTTACTACTTTTTTTCTATTAGGTCTATTATCTTCAAAACTATAATCGGTAGAAAGAAACTTTAAGCAGCAAAACTGATCAGCAAGACAAGATCTGTAAATAATTCAAATAGCAGAAATCGTGAATCGACTCTTTGTTAGAGTTATTGCCCTTTAGTGACAATTTTTACCATTTTTTTTTGCGTTTTTGCCTAAAATTTTAAAATCTACAATAGATATATAGAATCTTTAAACAGCATAAGTGATCAGCAAGACAAGATCTGCAAATAAGTCTAATAGCCGCATTCTTCAGTCGACTGGTTATTGAAGTTATTGCTCTTTGATGACGATTTTTACCAATTTTTGGCGTTTTTGAATATAAGAAGATGTGGTATGAGTGCCAATGAGACAATTCTCCATCCAAGTCAAAATTTATAAAAGTAAACCATTATAGGTCAAAGTACGGTCTTCAACACGGAGCCTTGGCTATTACATGCATCTTGAAAACTATAAAAGATAGATAGAAACTTTAAAGGACAATAATGATCAGCAAGACAAGATCTACAATCAGGTCAAATTCTGCCAAAAAAGTTAGTAGAATGGAATGATTGCCCTTAAATGACGTGTTTTTACCCTCTTTTGTGTTTTGGGCAAAAACTAAATAAAATAGAAACTGAAAGCAGTAGTCTACAATGTTGAAGATGCACATAGACCTAGGTGAGCGACACAGGCTCTAAAGAGCCTGTAGTATTATTATAACCATAACACTCCCTTTTTTATTCATTTAAACAACAACAGGTCACCTTATGGTTCTCAATGATGAGCAACCATACACAGATTTGGGGGGGGGGGGGGGTCAATAACACAGCTACTAATGAATACATGTTAACCAAAATAGGTAGCTGTTTGGTTTGTTAACATTTTTTTAATTATCTATTTTAAACTTAGTTAAGTCCTTTTTTTATGAACTTTCTGTTAAATTCCATGTAAAGTGTTAAAACGTATCTTTCTATTGGTATACATGTACGTAGAATATGTATTGTGCATCAAGTTTTCATTAAAGTTCGTCATTTATTGTAAACTCTGAAAGAGCTTGACCAAATGATGTAGAATGTAGAGTAGATCTTTACAGATTCAATATATGTCCTTGCAAAATCGCTGCTGTCGTATTCTGTAAAGCTTGACAGGGTGTCAGTATTTTTTATGGATTTCCCCCTTTTTGTATTTACCTTGGAGTTCGGTATTTTTGTTAATACGTTTTTTACAGGTACAAAATATGATTTCTTCGACTATATCAGTGAATTAGCTCAAGTATATAATTAATCTCGATGCATCTGTATATTCATGTATTGATATGACAGAAATGCTAACATATAGATAACAATAATTGCCAATCAGTTATGGTTTATTTTCACATGTGTATCATCTTGGTCAGCTCTGGTCATATAATGACATGACTGTTCTAAATATTTGGGAAGAAAACAGATTTATCTGACTAAATGCCAAGAATGCATACTAGATACAACATCACTTCTTCTACCAGTTCATGATAACGTCCAGTTTCGATGGCATCGTTTTTTCTGATGAATGTAGAAATTACTTTATGAAGATGAAATTCGTCTGTTTTCAAAATACTAGTAGATTAAACTTTAAAAAAAAATATTCCTATATCTTTTTATAAAGCAAAAAATAACACCGACGCCACGGTACGAATTGTGGTATAGGATCTTTAGAAATATGAAGACGCGAATTTATATATGGGATCTAGAGAAATGTGCATTATTACAACTCTTGAGAAATAAATACTTTGCGATTGCATTTTTTTTATATGAAAAAAAAATCAAATTCAATGATTAGTTCATATATGTGTTGAATATATGAATATTTCAAATATGTAAAAAAAATTATAAATAATGATAAGATTTTGAGGTACTGTTTTGAAGCTTACGTTAATAATGATATGCATTATTAGTGCATATAATACATATTTATACCCTTTTAATCTTTTCTTCTGTTATAAGCTTTGTTTAAACTTCAATCGTTTTAATTTTTTTTATTTCGATTCTATTGATTTGTTACACGGTATGTTATATTGTGATTGTCGTTAATACACATGTATTAGCTAGTTGTCTTGGGAGCTATTATATTTTGTGTATTGTTGTTTCACTATACATAAAATGAATAAATGGTTAAATGTAAAGGTTCAATATCAAACACGTCTTTCAAAACAATAAACCTAAAAATTTAATTCCTACATCTTACATTTCTTCGTAACACAATCGCTATTTAACACAAAAAGTGCAGTAAACCATCATGATTTGGCCAATGCACATCTACATTATGCAGTAAATAATGACCTGTACTTTATATCATTTCAATTTATTATATTAAAATGGTCATTAGTCAAAGCCTATATAAGTGATTAAACCTATTTAAATGGTAATTAAACATTGGAAAACTGATAGTTGCATAGAGACAAATATATAATAACTACTTGTTCGTCGAATTCAAGAGAATTTTAATTCATGTAGCCACTTTGTGTCTTTTCTCTTGAAAGAGTTACGAGAGACTTTTTAAAAATGTAAATATATTTTTTTATTATTTTTCTAAATTGTATTTGCAGTTGTTTTGAAATTAAGTGAAAACAGAATCTTTCAAGAAGTGAAAATAAAAATATTTCATATCCCGAAAATGCCATTTGATAGACTTCATTCTTCCAAATTTCTAAACCAGTTCTTAAAAATTGAAATTGAAATATTGGTTTTGATTAAATAGATTTATTTAGAATTGTACCACATCTTGCCATTCCGGGGTCATTTAGAGATTACTAAACGATATCAAGTTCAAGTTCAAGTCCTTTATTGTAAACTATCAGACACATAAAGTGTTAGAAGATTAATTCACTACATATGTTCAAATGGAATGGTATTAAATTTGCTCATTGTTGAATGCCGTACGGTGATCAGTAGTTGTGTGCATCTTTGTCCTTTGGTCTCTTTTGATCTGTTCGGCAATCATTTCAAATCTACTTATTTTGATATAAACATGCCTTTTAAATTGGTGTTTTTTTTTTCCTTTCTCCTTATAAACAAAACAGAAAAGGTTGATGAAATTTCCATTGCTGAAAAATTCTGAAAATACTGAAAACACATAGAAATTTTCACTGGCGAACTGAGATCTTAAGGGGTAAATAATGACCTGAACTTTATAACATTTCAATTTGTTATATTAATACGGTCATTGGTCAAAGCCTAAATCAGCGATTAAACCTATTTTAAAACTCCTTCACAGAAAAAGTTTCAACTATATAACCTTTTAATCTCACTTGTTGCATTTAGATTAAAATACATGTAAAACCTAATCGTATATGTATACGAAAGGACCCATGCCCCTCTTTTTTTCCCCTTTTCCTTTTCGAAACAATTTTGGCTTGAATTCTGCATATTGATAGCATTTTCGATTATCCTTCTATCCCTCAAGTCTCTGCATAATGTCGAAATGACTGCATGTAATATTCACGTGTTCTAAATATGTTTTGACTGAATTCAAATAATGATGTGATATATCATATTTTGTTTTAAATCTCACCAAAAAAAAAATCAGTTTCATATATTTTACATACATGTTTTAAATGAAAAAAATTATACAAGAAATTTTTCTTAAATTGTTCGTGCTGTTTAATATGTTGAAATTGTTATAAAGGGGGAAAACACCTCCAAAATATCATTTTACGTTTATCTTTATATTTACTATAGACAGATTTATTTAAAGAAAAAGGAAATTCAAGAAGGAATAACGTAATAAAGATAAAATCAAGTGACAAGAAAGACAAAAAGAAAAAACATTAAAAAAGAAAAAGAAAAAAAAAAAAAAGACACGGATTTAAACGAACATGAGAAAAAAAAACACTTTATTCATATTAATTAACTTGAAAAAGATAATTAGTTTTAAAAAAATCAGCTTTAAGAATACTTACTGATATAGTTTGCCGCTATCAAATGAAAAGCATTTTCCAACATAAATACAAACAGCATAGACAACTGAAACTTCTGATATCTACCAACATTTCCAAGCGCCTGTAGGACATGATCAACATCTGTACCGGGATCCATATCAAATCAATATGAATTAAGTCATCTACGTACAAATGTCTAAAGAACTGAACCTAGCTCTGGTTGTTACGTTCCTAAATACTTGTTTTTATGGAAGGCAAATATAGTTATATTCTTACTTTTATGGAACGTCACGTTGACAAATTTAAATCTAAGCTTTTAAAGAGAAAAAAATATATCGCTTAACCTAGATAGGCGTTATGTTATGGCTTACTTTAATTGTTTACATTCGATATGTCATAGTATTCATCGCTTTTACACACCATAATCTTAGAGTAAGTGAAACTCGAATAGAATTAAGAACTTAATCAGTGCACATTAAAATTCCAAAATTAGTAGATTACTGCATTTTTGTAAAATCACACAAGTAAATACTCATACGCTGCTACGTTTTTTCATCGAGGGAAATTAAAGGAATTATTATACCTCATTTTTTCACACATAAAAAAAAAGAATAAAATATTTGTTCTGTTTCATTCTATAATCCTTTAACATACTATTTGCCAGTCAACAGATTTTTAAAATACTTTGAACCCATTGAATAGTTTTGCAATCATATTTCCCGAACTTTTTCATACTTATTTTTCATTGGACAAAATTGAGTCATTGACTATTCGTTTTTCTTGGACTTTTTCACATGGTAAAATAAAACTCTGAAATAACTGCTAACTGTAAGTGATTTTCTAAGTCAATTTGCAAAAAGAAAATTACTGAGCAGGAGCAATTAAGAAAAGAAGAAATGTGTACATGAAAATGACATTTTTATAGAATTAAACTTATCAAATGTATTGAATGGTTCTGTCGTCGTCTTCCGCATCTGTGAATATTTTTGTGTACTATAATATATTTTAAGCTACTAGAAATCAGATGCATAGAGAGTTTAGTGTATTTGAAAATTTTACGGTGTATTGTTCGGCATAGTATTTCACTTAATAACTGGTTAAAACTTAATGTTGTCTCTTCAATATCAACTATTGCCCTCGGCTACGCCTCGGGCATTAGTTGTTATCTCAGGGTCAAAACACTTACTATTACGAAATCTTGTTATTACGCTCTTTACCAATCAATATGTGTTTACTACTTCACATTCGGTCGGAAATGACTCGTGATGGCGTCCGTAAAATTTTCGAAGGAAAAAATTCAACTTCACCACTTGGAATCCTTGTAAGCAGCAACCCTCTATCAAGGAAATCATGAAAGAAAATGCAAGCTCTGGAATATCGTTTCAACTGGGAGATATATACTTCATATGCAGGAGCTGCTGGAATATTGCTACATTGGAATGGAAAGTTCCTAATTGGGAAGCTGAAATCATCTCTTTTGTCGTATAGTTTTGTTCTCAACCGACCCTCATTGTTAATTTCTATATATAAGTCAAGATATGAGGCAGCCCTAACTCTATATGTTGCATCCTTTGTTTCAAGATCGATGGGATAGATGCATTCAACTTAGTAATTAAACTTTGTTTTTCTAGTGCATGAGAGAATATCATCTATATAGCGGAATATGAAGTTAAAGGATAATGCTAGTTTCTCATTCTTTCTAAGAAGTTCCTGTATGAAATCAGCCTCATGTGAATAAAGGAACAAGTCGGCAATAAGAGCGACACAATATGTTCTTTGCTTGCAAATAAATCCTTGTAAAAGAGAGGCGAAAGATACCAAAGGAACATTCAAACTCATAAGTCAAAAATAAACTGACAACGCCATGGCCAAAAAAGAAAAAAAGACCATAGGACAAACAACAGTATAAAACACACAACATAGAAAACTAAAGACTGAGCAACTCGAACCCCACCAAAAACCGGGGGTGATCTCAGGTGCTCCGGAAGGGTAAGCAGGTCCACATGTTGCACCCGTCGTGTCGCTCATGTAAGCACAAACCTGGTGATAAGTTTAATTCGGTAGATCACATTTGGGGAAAAGGAGAATGGGATTGTGGTTACGACGATTGGAAAACATGTATATCCGTCGTCATTTGTGAAACCGATATTCCATAACTGTCAACCAACTCGTGATGGGGTGATGGCGTTAAAACTCTATTAGGGGTCTGTATGTGACCTGCTGTAGGCAAATTTGACGCTAATACAAACATGCCTTGTATTGTGTAAAGATGCTGTCCTTTTTTCGTCCCCATTAATATAACTTATTTATTGTTTGTTTGATTAATTCTCGTCTTGTATATGCAAGAAATAATTGTCGATGAAATGAAACAAAAGTTATTGTGAAATAAGACATTAATCTGGACGAAATTCCAGTTGTTTAAAACGACTGAAATTTACACTACGGTGGCTATCACGAATTATCGAAGGATACTATATCCCAACTAACAAGAGAGATGTGTTCGCGCCATTCGATCTTAAGACACAAGAATAGGCGTCTTTGCGTATACATAACGGGAAAATTTTACTCTCTAGAGCACACGGACTCGCTTCGTTTTGAACTCATGGAATTACCTTGGTTTTTTCTTTCATTCCAAATAGAGTATAACTGCGATTGCCTCTTAAACACGTGAAAAATTAAAAAAAAGATGTTGATATAAGAAGAAAATTGGATGTCTATTTCATCACATACAAAAATTCTTAATCCACAGTTTATTGAATCTATAATCAGTCAGTAAAATTAAATTGCTAGGGTATATAGTAAGATAGATATATAGTTGGTTGTCTAACTTCAAAGAACAAATAATTCTTGCGTTTTCGATAAAGACAAAAAGGATGAAAACATTCTCTATTTATGATTTGCAAATAAACGTAATTTTCCTCTTCCAAGCCTCTCCGACTCCCTTCGATAAATTCGTAGTTTCTACATCTTAAGTTTTAGTGAAACGCATCATTTATACGACAATATTCAATGATATTTTATATTCCTGCATTTTGGAGATTTTTACGTTTACAAAGTCAAAGACAATGACAATGTACTTATGACAAATGAATGAGATTCTTTTTCTATGTCAATGAATAGCAAATCATACTATTTAGTCATTAATGAAGTACAATAGGCATTAAAAATTTTTTGCATGTGTCAAAAAGTTGCAGTATTTGTAATGCTATATGCATACTTAATTTCCAGTTGATTAGTTTACGTTGTTTGACAAAAATTGAAAAACAATACTCATTGTGCTAAATAAGAGGCGTTAATGTCAAGTAACTCAAAAAGTATTCAAATTACATGTTGCATTGTTTTTCGTTATTTAAAGTGACAAATCTCAATTGGGATTTTATACCTATAGAGTCATCCTAACCGTAATGAGGATTGTATCATGGTGATGTATTTTCGAACTTAAATTCCATTCCTACATAAAATGGCTATCATTATTAACATCTGAAATTTGCCAGATATTTTCAGCTTGTATCATTATCAACAATTATATGGTCCATTATTAACTGGGCTGCATGACTTTGAATTGACTGAGATTGAGATAACCTGACGGTCAATAGTTGTTTAAACTTTGGAGTTCATGCGATAACGAATGTTTACACACCCATATTTGTGTGTTTACACCTGGACTTAAAAATACATTTACTAAGTATAATGTCACACTACCTATCTACTGAAAAGGTCAAAATTAAAGCTATGTTTTGCAGTGATGAGATTCTTTGACTTATCTAATAAGAACATTTTTTTTACAGAAGGGAGGCGAAAGATACCAAAAGGGGAAATTCAAACTCATAAGTGGAAAATAAACTGATAACGCCATGGTAGATACGGTCATCGTACGTTTATAACAGTCAATTTCAAACTAGCTGGAGTATTGGCGTTTCAGAATCTAGTGCATTTTGGGTAACATTTTATAAAGCTTACACCAAAACGCTGTGATTGGCTGACAACGTCCAAAACAATTGAAATTAAACCAATGACGTGAAAGGTTGTTTTGATTTTGGGGTACGAACAATGCAATAACCCAGGAGGATTTGTTTTGGATGGGTTATTTATTTTTGTAGACCAAAAGGACAGATTATTTATTTTCTGCACTGTTGAAGCATGATTTTTCATTTTCATTGAAACAAGGGACTGATTATCTATTTTCACAATGATATTTATAATATTTGAAAACATACAATTTTTAAATTATTTTTTTTATTCTTTAATAAATAACATAGTAAATTAAGTCAATCAGAAATTCCTCTGGAAGTTAATCTTCTGAATTGCAAGGTATTAAAGCTGGGCTGTAACTAGACTCTTTTAAAAGTTGTCAAAAAATCGGCGAAGAGTCTGGGGTTTCGCTGAAGGCCCTAAGAAGCTATAGAAAAAATGGTGCATTATGCGCGTTTCCCAGACCGTTTTTTTAATTTGAAACGCAAGCTCTGTTTTAATTTTTTAACAATATTCTTGTCTCAAAGCAAAATATATAGATTCAATGTAAGTAAGACTTTTAGTTTTTAGGGACAACATCAAAAGACCAATATGTAGGACAAAGCAAAAAATGTTTCAGTTTGCAGAAAAACCTTTTATACCTGTCAATTATGTTTTTTTTTTCAAATTAAATTAAGAGGGGGCTGATTATCATTAATATAACTATGTCAAGTCAGTTTTTATAACACATTTCAATTACAACTTGATGTAGTTCTTAACTGGGATACAATTTAAAGTAGTTTGTAATAGACAAAAGGCCCTTAAATATAATAAAATTCAAGTTTAAAACATAATTACTAAATTATAAATAGAATGCAACACTAAGAGAATAGTCATAAAGAAGGGCAATCAATGAACAAAAGACAAACCTGGGAACAGATAAAACACAAAACGACAAACATAATAGGCAATCAACAATGAAAAATAAATGAGAAACATGGATCTCAATAAACAGGGAGAGTGAACAGAACTTGCTTCTTGCAAGACACTTGCCGTGAAAACAATTTGATATGAAGATAAGCTTTTGTTTTGAAATTTCCAACATGAGACATTTGCCTCAATCAAGGATTTGTATAGTAACTATACAAATCCTTGCCTCAATGTAGTTACGGCCCTGTAATAAAAGTGAGGTAAATGTTCACGAGACAATATACCTCAAGCTAAATGAAACCCATTTTCAAACATTTCAAATACATTAATATTTATATTATTAAAAGATTTGGGAAGTTTTTCCCGAAAAAAATATGAAATAAGACGAATTTTGGAA